GTTCATGTTCACACCTCCGTGGTACTTGGTTCCACATAGTACATCTTCCAGTTAGCTTTTGGGATTTGCAAATGAATAAGAGGCCTCTCACGGCATTCTCTAGAGTTTTATGAGTGGCTTGTCAGTTGGCATGAGCAGAAAAAAGGGGGTGAATTAAGAAGCCTTGCTGTCTCCAGTCTAACTGCGCATCTAGAGTCGGATAGATGCTTGTTGATGTCTCTTCCACCTCTGAGCACATTCCTCTTCTCCTCTGTCCTTTCAATAGTTTCTTTACCAAAAGATTGTTCTGCTTCATTTGCTAACATGAAGAAAACCAATACAATACCACCTCGCTTTTACAGGAGTCTGGTGGCAGCACAGCTCACTCAACAGGGTGTGAAATTATAATCTACTTTCCTAAAGACATTTCCCTACCTGCCACACCATCCTATTTTCCACCAATTATTTAGAATTCACAGCTTTGAGGTGTTATTGTACTGGAAATAAGAATCCCGGAGGGACAGCTGCCTTCATAAGCAAATCATCATATACAATGGAATGGTTTTACATATCAATATATTAAAAGGAAAGCATTGCAGAGCAGGTAAGTCAAGGGTCTGAAGGCTGTTCATTCATCCTCAAGTTTTCTTTGATAATACATTGTATGGTAAGTTAACGTAATGGCCCCAAAGCTAAGTTAATGATGTGTTAAATTTTAAGCACTTCTTTTGTCATTGTACATCTTAACACTTAACAAAGTTATCATTATGAACTTGATTTCCAGATTTCCAAAGAAACTAACCCCACACTTCTAGTGAACACAGCATATGAGATGTTTTAATTGAAATTAATTTTAACTAATCAGCATTAAAATGGCTCTTTTATAACATCATTTGAAGTTCAGACACTATTCAATGAATTCAGATTTGGAGTCATCAGTTAGCAAATTACAGTGACCTTGAAATGGCGTCATGACATTCAGTACAGAATAAGTTCTCGTTACAAAGGTATGCATTTTTTGTATAGGGCAATGCAGTTGGGAATTTTTTGTAACATATCGGGACTGAAAGCCCAGGCTCAAGCCCATAATCTATTACAATACCTGATACCTTCAAGTTCATAGCAAACCAGCATAATGTTGCAGAGCAAATCTCCTATCTCCTAGCCATACTTTATTTCACTTCTGTACAATACTGTATGTATCCACATATCATTAACCCAAGCACTGAGACAAGTTAGGATACTTTAAAAAGCCTTTGCACCTGCAGTTAAAAACCTGTGGGTGAAAAGCACTCCATTAATATTGAGCATTATTACCATATTTTGTGCTATTAAGGTGACAGATTCCGGCTGCAATCCTACGCATGCCCACTTACCAAGGAGAAAGCCACTCCCCCATAAACAGATGGAACTTGCTTCTTAGTAAACATGTTTAGGCTGTTAGTATGCCTCATAACATGCTCTCAAAAAGTACTTTGTCATCATGTTATAAACTGTCACAGCAATAATTACCTGTTTCGTTCTGTTCTAGAACCTAGAGATGAAACCTATAGAAAACTGTGGTTTAACTACCTTGGATAAGAAGTTTCAGGTATCTTCGCAAGATATCAGAATGTACTTTGGGGGAATGCACGAGGGTTTTTAAGGAAAAAAGGAGTTCACTCTAACTAGCACATTATTGCCACCTGGCTGCACAGCTTAAAAGTTTATTACCTAGATCACATTAAGTACATTCAATTATGGTGCACATTTCTGAATAACAGAAGTGATAAAAGAGTGTGTGACCTTGACTATTTGATAAGCTTTGCAGAAGATTTGGATGTGTGCATGAGCCCTCAACCCAGGTGCAATGGGGATGCCCTCCAACTGTATGATTATATGGGTCAAGCAATCAGATTGAGGTTTCTTCAAAGGGGATTATACCCTAATAGAACCCCCATTATACCAGTATTTACATAAAGATTCTCCTCCATTGTCAGCTATATCATCTGTGCCAGATTCAGCCAACCACCTGTTGGCATTTCATGTTCATTTATTTGATTTCTTACCCACTTATATTCCCTTATATTCACTAGCGTTCTGGAAACTAGCTGTCCCATTCTGTACCCCATACATGCCATTATTACTCCCGTCCCAAAGAAACTAATCCCCCACTAGCTGCAACCTATAGCTATAAACCGTATTACAGAAAACAATGTTAAAAAGTATAGCCTCTCCTTTCATGTAACTCCCTTTATCTGCTGCAGGCAGGAGACAGAACTCCTGCAGCTAGAAGTGGATTTCGATTCTCATTGACTCCATCATTTGTATTCTCCCACAGGAGTCACAAATTAAGAATGCTCAGTACAAACATATTCATGAACAGCTGCTTTAGTATATACCTGTATGGGCTGTTCAGGTAGGTAACACTTTAACAGAACAGGGGAATCTAGGTCATGTTTGTACTACTAGTCAAGGTTGATAACCTGCAGTTACTATTACAAGCAGGTTAGATGAATGTATTTGAAACCATCTTTGCTGTGATTCCTAGAAGACCTGCTCCCTGCTTTGCAGGCCCAGGCCCTGACTCCCACTACAAAAGCTGCTAGTGTTGCAAGGAACAGAGACTATTTTACCTGCAGGACCAGCTGCTTAGAGACTACTGATGTGGGTGTTTAGTTTCTGTTGGGGTCAAGAACGAACTTTGGAGGTGATTAATTTTTGCTGTTATTGGTATTGTTTCTGTATCTTTATTGTTAGATTTTGCTATGATCATTTTCTGAATTATTTGAGGATAGTTTAATTTTTTGGTATATTTACTGAGATGTTTTCATTTATTGTTTATTACCACTTAAATTTTGTTATCTTTTTGTAATTATCTACATCTGCACAGACAGCATGGTTTAACTATGGAAAGGGGGCATACGAATGAACAATGATGACATTAACTTATCCCATTTCCACAATACATATTTTTGATCACCATCAGAAACAGGCAGAACTGGGATGCTTGTTTTACTCCGATGCTATCTCTCTAAATGAAACCAGCGACCTCAAGTTTTCAGTACAGACAAGGAAAATAGCCCCTGTACAACCCAACTCAGCTAAGATTAACTTCATCCCATTAACATTAAAAACACACAGTCCTTTGAAATATGTGGTACATCAAGATAGCCACACGATGGTACTGTGTAGCTGTCAGAGAAGCTACTGAAACCATTTGTAAAACAGATTGCAGCTTGCTGTAAAAAATAATAACAGTGACCTGAATTGCGAATGCTGGGAGTGCTTGCTCCAATTCTGCCTTCTGCAAATACTTCATTTGACATCTTGGCCAGCCACATATTCACAAAGTGAGATACCTGAGGAATGCTAAACCAGTGACAGGAAACCTGGGGCCCTCCAGACATCGGGCTCCGATTGCCATCAGCTCAGCCTACAATCAGAAATGCTAGCTTTGGTCTAGCAATATCTAGAGGGCCATAGATTCCCCAACATAAGCAGTCACCATTTTCCTGTCAAGACTGAGAGATTCCCTTTTTCCCAGGGCACTTGCAACAAAACTTCCCGCCCATATCCTGAGGGGAAGTTACCATAATTGCTAGCTCCGTTATAGTTCAGCCACCCATTTTGCAGTGAAGCTGATCCAACAATTGCTCTGGGTGCAAGTGTCATCCCAGCCTATTCCTTTGCACTCTAGATTGAGGAGTTGGGTTTGTGAGGAAATTCCTTCACATCGACTATATGCTACAGAAAATGTTTGACCAAAGGAGAGAGCAGTGTAGAAGGCCCTATGTGAAATGGGGGGAGGGAGGAATAATTGTCATTAGCTCTGCTTGGCTAGTTCCAAGACTTAAAGAGGTCTCCTGTGATAGCACTTCCATGCAAATAAATGAGCCAATGCTTTAAAAAGCTTTCTTTAGGCAGAATCTTCCTGCACCCCATCCTAGGGTGGGAGAGGGGAAGGACAACAAAGCAGAAGAGAAATAAGCCTGGTGCAGAAACCTACCCATACTTACTAGGAAGACCTATGGATTAAAATAGCTTACTTACAAATAGACCCAGGATTGTAACTTGATACCCTGATACAGCCTTTTTCAACCTTGGATCCCAAGATGATGTTGGACTACAACTCCTCTCATCTCTAGCTAGCAGGACCAGTAGTCAGGGATGGTGAGAACTATAGGCCAACAACATTTGAGGAACAAAGGTTGAGAAAGGCTGCCCTAAAATTTTCAGCCCGTTAACCAGACTTGATTCAAGTGCACCAAGTACTTTCCTGAAACTAGCTTTCACTTAATATGCTACAAAGGTTATTCGACTGTCATTCCTTATTTTAAAAAAGAGAAAGCATCTTCATCATTTCAATGGGTTGTTGAAGGAAGGTCATATTGCTATCCTTGAAAACTTTCCTGGCTGAAATCTCCAGATGACAAGTGGTTAATTATTTAAACAGACATTTCCCAGGAGGTGCTGGTTATGCTGTTCTATCCCCCTGCCTGAATGGAGATAAGTATGGTGTTGGAAGGCTTCTGTAAAATCAAGGTAGGCAGATCCAAAATTGCTTTTGCTTCCCATAGCACCTGAGCACCTGTCAAATCACAGAAGTGGCGTGTACATGATTCGGTCATTCTACAGTAGCCAACATCGATGCTCCTTTAGAACGAAGTCTAGGCCACACCGCTGATCAGAATTGCAAGTCCCGCCTCATTGGCAGCCTCCTTCCAGTCCAGGTACAGCACCATGTCTGAACTTCAGAGTTGTCCATTTCACTGAACTGGACTACCAAACTCAGATTCACAGATCCACATTCAGGTGGGCAAAAGGCATGAAGCAGACATAGCAACAAGCCACCAGATGACTGAAACTGCAAGACCAACCATGTTGAGGAGCCTCCTTCACAACCCTATTTGTCATTTTCTCCTTTTGTCAAGAAAAGCAGTCTGGAGTCCTAATCTTAACTGCATTGACTAGCTTTGCCCAACCTTCTGGTTTCTGGCAAGTTTTACTTCGTTTTGTTAAGTCAGTTCATTCAAAGTCATCTTGCGATTTTAATCCAAGTCCTTTATTATGAAAATTAATACAGCTTGCTCAAAATTCAGCTTAAAAAGAGATAAGCCTGTTTACATATTATAAGGGAGGGGGAAGATCAATTATTATTTCATCCAAAGTAGCCAGGAAGTCTTGAGTGGACTGCAGGGTATCTGAAAGATTTAAAAAGCCAGTTAACATCAAGTCAGAAACATTCGAATTTTAATATTTTCATTTCTAATGTTCATGGTTACATTTCTAATCTCAATTTTTTTCAGTGCCCCTTTTACCCTAGTCACCCAAATGTTAGGCAGTTGTTGCTTTTCAATTCTTTCTGTGTTTGCTCTGTTCCAGCCAAGTATTGCCCCTTACAATGTAGCATTACAGCCACTCACTTTGCTGGATGCAAATCACTTTTTTAAAAAAAACTTACCATAGCCCCATGAAATGGAAGGCTCTTTTGCAGGTACAGAGATTGTGCTTGCAAATCTGTCAGAGGCATTTTCAAATACCATCAGAGGAACTCCAGTCAGGGGCATGTGGCTCAGCCTGTGCTCTTCGGGAACTTCAAAACTCTCAAAGTCTGTTCAGAAAGAACAGTGGTTAGCACTGCCCCTGAGCATCACTCTCCATTACTTGTTAGAGGAGTGGGGCAGTGACATAATTCACTCAGCTAGCAGGGTTTACACTATTGAGTAGCACACAAAGAGCATAAATAAAATGCATAAGACTGATTTTTTATTCAGATTCCCTCAACTTATTTATCTGTTATGCCCGGCAACTTCTAGTACAGTAATCCTGCAACTTACGTGTATTTAATGTGTGACCATTCAGTTTAACATGCTTGGCTGCTGATGTTGATGATAATGATAATAAAAATAATAATGATGATGATAGGACGGGCATCTGGGGGGAATCTTTGGCAATCCCACCTACCAATGAACCCAATACATTTTGACTTTACACAATTTTGCCTTTAGGTGCGATCCCCAGAACATAACCCCAGCATGCGTTGCAGCTTACGGTATAGAAGGTCAGTTAACAAGACAGACAGCAACCTATGACACTCCAGCAGAACCACCTCCTGCTTCATATCTCTGCATTGATTATCAACCAACCAACCAACCAACCAACCAATCAATCAATCACCCCCTCTATCCCAAGGAAACCAAAATAATCCTTGGCAGGCATTACCTAAAGGATCATAGGAAAAGAGGTTCTCCTTTTCTGGATAGTCTTCAGGAACCATGCTGCTGCTTTCAACTCTGTTTGCAGTTTCAGTAGCCTTAAATAAGGATAAAAAGTGAGAAAAAGTGGTTACAACAAAGTCTTACAACAGCCAGACTAGAGATTTCTCCCGTCAATATGCTGAATCTATGCTTTCCACTGGTGGACCATGGACCACAGCTTGGGAATTCCCAAAATCATGTTTATTATAACATCATGACTTCTTGTTCCCAACTCCTTAATCAAGGAAGAATTAAAAAACAGGCTGCCTCCCCACTTCTTCCCTTTCCCAGGGCCTTCCCTTATTTTCACTTAGAAATCCCCTTTCAGGTGCCACCCTGGTTTTTGTTGTTCTTGTTGTGACCAGCAGATTTTCCAGTGTTCTTAGCTTTAATCATCCTTGTGAATGCATTCTTCCTTCATGAGCTAGAGAGAAAGCTGGTCTCTATGTACACACAACTCTCTTTTTCCTGCTATGTGCCAGTCATCCTCCTATTTCATACCCACCAATGTACTACTTTTCTGGAAGAAAAGTTTTACACAAGATGAAAGCTTCAGTTACTCAAGAGGCTAGTTTAAGGTGAGCTGATCATTATCACTTGCTGAAATTTTGACAGATTGGCACACATCTATGATCTTTTTGTCATTTTGCTTATATCTGGGACAGTTCTCCAGCCTAGGAATAATTCTGTTTTGAGAATCTAATGCAGTCCTATGGAGTATTAGCTCTACTAACCTTTTTCGTAGAAGACTTTTTTCCTTTTGGGAAGTTACTCTTTGTTGTTGTTGAAGGCCTATTCAAATTTCCTAGAACCTTCCTGACAGACTGGGATGCTGCTGGATTTACGTTAGCTGTCCTTCCAACAAGTGGAGTCTTGGGGCAGGACCTTTCAGCAAAACTCTTTGCTATGGAAGAAAATCAAGTCAGCCAACATGCTTAAGACCCAAAGTACCAAAACTTCTTCATTCAAGGGCACCACAGGCAAAACAAGTCAGAACAGACGTTTATCATGTCATATGAACCCAAGTTTGTTGTTTGTCTCTCTCCAAACAAACCAAGGTTTGTTCTTAACTTATACCTCTTGGTTCATTTGGAGATAAACAAGTGCAGGTTCAGGTGACATGACAAACCACGCCCTGGTTTGTTTCATCCAAAATGCAGCAGGAATGCCCCAGGAGATTCTGAGTGTGCTGCTTGTTCACGTTAAACCATGGTTAATGTGACAGGCAAGACAAGCAAATCAAGCCAGTGCAGCTAAGAATACTCCATGAGGCAGAATAAAGGAGAAGCCACAGTTAGTTCTCATTTTTCCTTCCTCCCGGCATCCTGTCTTTCCACAAAGACTTCATCATCCGGTAACTCAAAGCTGAGCTGACCTGTTATCATTGCTGCCTCCAAAAAGAGGAGAAAGCTATAAAAAGTTGATATTAAGCATTCTGAATTATGAATTCAAGTTCATCAGCATCTTTAATGGAGCTTTGGTTTAAAATAGGTATTTCCATTCATTTCATACCAGTTTAAATTCACATGAATACAAACTTACATGGTGCAGATACCAATTGCATCCGACCCTTAGAAGAAGCAACCGTGCCAATTTCATCATTCTCTTTTTCTATGTAAATTTGTGTCGCCATCACTTTGACATCCAAGGACTGCTAGAACAGATATATACATTATTATTTCGTGTTTTCTTGCATCCTTAGCCTTCTGTCATCATTATACATTCTGTCTCACTAGTAGTACCTCAGTCACTTTTGGAAACTCCTCCAGAACCTTCTGGAGCAAAGGCGGCCACTGGTTTAATGCACTTCTTTCAAGTGTTTGTCTTGACTAGGTACAGTGCACTGGGATGTGCAGATAACTGTTAAACACGAGACAGAACTCAAAATGCAGTCAAAAACTACTCACTAAAGCAGTTTATAAAAATACATGGGGGTGGTGACAAAAGGTTTTTTTTTAAAAAAAGCACTTTCTAAAAGTGTCTATTTACAGAGGGCTACATTCTGAAGTTAAGAACAACAGTGAACTATTGCTGCCTACTCAGAAGTAGGTCCCACTGAGTTCAATTGGTCTTATTCTTAGATACTGTAAATGCTTAAAAGAATTGCAGCCTAAAATTACAGGTTTTGACACATATACTAAAGCAATACTTTCCATGCTACCACATACTCTTGAGTGCCAGTGTTAAATGTCAGACATTAGCATTATAGCACTGTAACCCAAAAAGTAACAGCAAAAAAGGGAGGGGAAGCCTACAAAGTGTATTCCCACCCACATTGTTCTCCATCACTTTAATGCAGTCTCACTAACTTGCCAGACCATGCGCAGTACTCAGCAATAAGGCACACCAGGAAACCTACTGACTGCCCATCTTAAGTACAGTCAGGACTGGAGTCTTAGGTTGCCCTAGACCTGATTGATTTAACTAGTATTTCTAACTCTTAGGAAAAAAACCACACACCAAAAAGCCAGCTTCTCTTTTAGCATTACTTACCTGCCTATAGAATGGACCAAACGAAACAAAGAACCTGATATCAATAATAAAAAAATAATTTTAGTCCAAGCAAAAAAGATACAGAATTTTAGAAAAGCAACACAACTTGTTAATAAACATAAAACCAGCACAAATCGATAGAGACGAGACATTAGGAAGCAATGACAAAAAAAGGAAACAAAAATCTAGGCCAAACAAGCTTTTAAACCTCACATCCACCCATTGCCAAATAATTGATAACACGCACACTAAAAGCGATACACCACTAACGAGCTCAGCTTTCCGCACGGGTCACTTTTAAATCATCACCCTCCTTCCCCATTGGTCGTTACTCCCCGCGTGAGCCGCTGCTGATTGCTACCTCGGTAAACCAATGGCGGAGGAGAGGAGGCGGGGTTTCACGCGTTCCCGGCTCATTAAAGAACCCACGACGAGGTAAAGGGGCAGCAGATGAAGCGTGCTAGTTGCAAGGCGCGTGTAGCTGTATTTCCTCTGGGAGCAGTGGACAGTGGAAGTTCATTCCCAGCTACGTATGCGTGGGATCAGACTGCAAAGCCCTAAAGTCACCCTTGCTCGCTGCACTCGGCGGAGTAAGACAGGAGGTGCAGCACTTTCGGAGTATAAATAATAAATTGTTGTTGTTACTATTACCATTATTACTATTTATTTTATTATTGTTATGGGCGGAGGAGGAGGCAGCCCTGTCGATCTGCTGCAACAAAAACAAAGAGGGCTTAAAGGCTTGCAATGCTAGTCCTAATACTTTTCCGGAGTCTCATTGTACTGGGATTTACTCCCAAATAAGTGGGCAGCCATATAAAGATTGAAGCCAACCACAATGCTAAAGGCACAGGAGTCCCATCTAGTGCAAGGAAGCTCATACATACATACAGTCACTGCAGCAGTCCTGTCCAGGAGGACTGCTTTGCTCTAGTGGGGCTTCTTTCTACTGCCCTTACAGGACTGTAGCCGGACCAAAACCCCTAGTGGACTGGCTTTCGACCGTCGGGATTCTAATTAAGACGCGCACCGAAAGCAAAGCGCCCTGGAGTCAGTGGGACTTAACCCCGAGTAAATGCACGTGGGGATCGGGCTGCCTTGGTAGGACCGGGCGGAGGACGAGATGCCTTTGGAATCAGGGCGGTGCCCCTTTAAGAGGAAGGCGGATGGAGCGGCGCGCTGCATTGTGGGAAGCGGAAGCAAAGCGGAAGTGAGGCCTGCTCGGTGCCGAGAAGCCTGTGGCGTAGAAACGGCAGCTGTCGGGGCTGGCAACTTCGGTAAGGCTGGATTTTGTGGCTGCCCTGCGAGTGTTACCCGGCGGAGCAGACTTTACTTCCCCCATAGGACAGCAGAAGGCGTTTCCAATGTCCTGAAAGTTGTGTTTGTTTATACGGAGCACGTACTCGGGATACTGTGTCTCCCTGGGCGGTTAAAATCCCCAGAGCCTCCGTGGTAGCTGCTGTTTCTCCTCTTCCCTTTGGGTTTCGGTACATTCTGCGTTTTCACACAGAGGAGGCCTCTCCTCAGGACCTTCTCTGGAGGTTTATTTGGTTTACCTGTTTCAGCTACGTATTGGTCGCGGGAAACACAAGAGGGTCGTAAAAAGGACATTTTGTGCTTCTTTTCGGCTTCTTGAAGTCCTTGTGGTTGGGGGGGGTGTTAAAACTGGGGCCGACCGTATAGTGAGCTCCTGCTCTAGCCTACCGCCCTCCTCCCCCACTTACAGCATCTCTCCGTTAAACGCACAATTCCAGGTGCCAGGCTGATTGATCAGTACATTAACTGTGCTTGAAATTATTTGCTTGCTTCCAGATGCTTAGATCAGATAGATGTTCTTTTGCTATGATGGCTAAGCAGGTCGTAGCTGAGGTGTTCTCATTAAACTGTTACTAATGAGAGGGAGGGAAACCCACATAAACATAGTTATGTACTGCTATGACTAATAATGCTAACTCGTTGAGAATGGTTCATAAAGATACAAACATCAGTGACTAAATCCTGCTAGAGGAGTCTTCTAGGGATCTATGCAGCCACAGAAGGACTGGAGAAAATAGCTGGGAGGCTTATAACTCCCAAAGCATCAGAAAGGCTAGCTAGCTTTTGGTTTCATGTTCACCTAATTTATAGGAGGTGGTAACTTATAGGAGCTCGAAGCTATCAGCATGAGTTTGACCAAACTGCGGGAGGCAGTGGAAGACAGAAGTGCCTGGCGTGCTCTGGTCCAGGGGGTCACGAAGAGTCAGACACAACTAAACAACAACAAAACTTCTAGGAGGCGGCTTATTTAACAGTAACATTGGTGGGGTTTGAAGAGGTATTATAATCTGTCTTGAGTTAGGATGGTGTTAAGCAGAGTGCGGTTATGATATGACACTATCTCTGCATGTTACAGTTTTTGAATCATTTCTTGGATTCATGGCGAGCTTGTGCATTGTCCCACTAATCCCAGCTGCTTCTGTTTCTGTTATCTCTCAGAGAGTGAATGGTGTTATATTTCATACGGTAGCTACTTTTTCTGATGGCTGTGGCCTGGCTCCAATTACTATAAGAACACCAGTGAAGGGTCAATGGGAGAATTAATACATGCAAAATACTGACTATAGTTAACAGTTTGAGATCATTCATAAGGACATGTATTAAAACAGTGTTGGATCTATTTCTGTGGCTGATAAACCTGCATTCTTATTTGTAGGTAAAAGATCATGGAATCTGGTAGTATGGAAACGATAGCTGCTAACCCTCCTGGAGGGTCAAATGGCTTAGAAGAGCCTAAGAAGATGACCAGGGAGGATTGGAGGAAGAAAAAGGAATTGGAAGAACAGAGAAAACTGGGCAATGCACCAGCAGAAGTAGATGAAGAGGGAAAGTAAGTCTTGTGTATCCCTTCATATCTGCTAGCAGTTCCCTTGTATTTCCTTCAAAGTTGCACTTCTTTTATGACTTTCTGTTGTTTTATTTTTTTGAAGTTAGGAGGTATGTACCTTGAAGGAATTTCTTTCATCTTGCTTGAATTTCTATAGCCAGTGGGTAATGAAATGAATGAACTGAAATGTATGGTTTATTCCTGCCTTCAGCCTGTCTAGTCTTTTCCTAACCTTTCCAGAGTGGGGCAGGCAATTGGAAGGGATTGAAATCTTGAAATGTGAGGTTTTAACAAAAAAAATTAAGCAAAAAGGAAGGGCCAAAGCTCAATGCTCGGAATATCGATCTGGGAGGGGAAAAGACTCACACTTCCTATATAACATCGTATCCTTTTACAGTATTGTTAAGACAATCGAACATGGTTTTGACCCTCCATTGACTCATGGACCCTTATGGAGAGACACTTTGATTGCCTTTATTGGAACATCTAAAACATACTACCATCTGCCACTATTTTCTCTTTTCTGCACAGCTGCTAAGCTCTGTTTTCCTTGTATGGGTATGTTTTGTTACAGTAGTACCTCGGGTTACAAACACTTAGGGTTACAGACTCCACTAACCCGGAAATAGTACCTCGGGTTAAGAACTTTGCCCCAGGATGAGAACAGAAATCATGTGGCGGCGGCAGCAGGAGGAGGTCCCATTAGCTAAAGTGGTACCTCAGGTTAAGAACCGTTTCAGGTTAAGAACAGACCTCCGGAATGAATTAAGTTCGTAACCAGAGGTACCGTTGTACTTGAAATTAACAATCTATTTTTTAAAGTCTTTCAAAAAGCACTGAATTGGGGATTCTGTTGTCGTCCCTTCTGTGGGTCTGAGTCTATGTACTTGGATGCATGTCTCACTTGAGTTCAGCTGGGTGTCAGGTTCCATGACAGAGAAAAGGCAGCATATAAATGTCGGAACATAATAAAAATAAATAATGAAATGATCCTAACTGTTTCCACTTAGAAGTCTCCTTGATCTCTATCTCAACATGGGAACCCTTACTGACTTAAGGTCCATCTTACCCAGTCACAAAGCATTCACAACATTATTTTGTGGATATCTGTAACATTTAATTGTTCAACAATGCAACCATAACACAACCATATTTATTCAGAAGTAATTCCCAGTATGTTCAATGGGGCTTACTCCCACTTCAATGTGTGTTTTTTCTATTTATTACAGAGACATCAACCCTCATATTCCTCAGTACATTTCCTCAGTCCCATGGTATATCGATCCTTCAAAAAGGCCTACACTAAAGCATCAGAGACCTCAGCCAGAGAAGCAACAAGAATTTACATTTCTAGGGGAATGGTATAAGCGAGGAGTCAAAGAGGTAGGTCACCATGATGGGAATGCTGGCACTCTAGAATGTAAATAAATCCTAATAAGTTTGCTGTCCTTTATTTCTTATTACTGGCATTCAAAAGATTGAGTTCAGCAATAGTTTGTCATCTTTCTGAGTATCAGATGTTCTGGGATAGTTTTACACTAGTTGACTTGCAGGGGTACACTTCAAGCTAAGGATCAAGTTCTCTGCAATTATCATTACAGATAAAATTAATTGTGTTGTAGATCTGTTTCTTTTGCAGTCAAATGGGGCCAACTATATTCTGATCGAGGCTGACTGGAGGGAAGTAGGTGTGCTGTTGATAGGAAGTTTTCATTTGTTTTTGTTTTTTGCTCAGAATTCTCATGCAACCAAGTACCGCAAAGGAGCATGTGAGAACTGTGGTGCCCTTACACACAAGAAGAAAGATTGCTTAGAGGTAAGCACTATTATTATTTTTACATGAAATTGGATAAAATTAACTGTGAATCTTGCTAACATCCTGAAAAATTAATTTTCCCAAGCTCTATGATCCAAAAAATGAATAATAATGTGGCCAGTTCCTTTTCTGAAGAACAGGAGCAATGCTAAGGTTGTGATCTAATTCCTTCCCTGCAGAGACCTAGAAAGGTTGGAGCCAAATTCACAGGAACCAACATTGCACCAGATGAGCACATGCAACCACAGCTGATGTTTGACTATGATGGAAAAAGAGACCGTTGGAATGGCTATAATCCAGAGGAGCATATGAAGATTGTAGAAGAATACGCCAAGGTTGATTTAGTAAGTAGGGTGGTGTGCTTTTTTCTTTTTCAGTGGTGCCTCGCAAGACGAAATTAATTCGTTCCGCGAGTTTTTCGTCTAGCGAATTTTTCGTCTTGCGAAGCACGAAATCCCATAGGAATGCATTGAAATTCAATTAATGCGTTCCTATGGTCAAAAAAAGTCCAAACAAAGCCAAATTTGGTACAACAAGAGTTTATTAAGTGCTCTTTAAAGTCACACATACTGTAAAGAGCTTTTCAAAAATTGAAGGAACAATAAATTCAAAAATTGAAGGAACAATAAAAATCATAAAAATTCAGGAAAAAACCACACAAGCTTCCAGATTCTTGCAAACCCCTCCTCAACTGTTCCCCCAGCCACCCACCACACAGAAATTCAAACCCAGATTTTTTTAAAAAAAAAAACAGCAGAGTGGCCCAATGGTCACAAAAAATCAGAAAAATGCAGAAAAAAACCACACAAGCTTCCAGATTCTTGCAAACCCCTCCCCAACACCAAGTCCTTGAATTCCAAACACCCCAACCCAAAATCCAAAAACCCCCAAAAAAGTTTTAAAAGTTTAACTTACCAAATGGCTGCAAAAGAAGTTTTGGAAAAGTGTTCATACTGAATTTTAGTACTGAACTAGACAGATTTAATTTTAATTAAACAAGATGGATGTTTGCATGATGAATGAAGTGGTTGTGGAAACTTTCAGTCCAATGTGAGAAGTAATCCTGCTTTCATTTTAACAGGCTAAACGCTCACTGAAAGTGCAGAAGCTCCAGGAGGAGCTGGCTTCAGGAAAGCTGACGGAGCAAGTGGTAAGTGAACTGAAAACATTAGTTGTTGTTTAGTCCTTTAGTCATGTCCAGCTCTTCGTGACCACATGGACCAGAGCACGCCAGGCACTTCTGTCTTCTACTGCCTCCCGCAGTTTGGTCAAACTCATACTGGTAGCAAAACATTAGTACCCTGGTGTTTTATCACAAGGGATGCGTGTCCTCCTTTCTCACATGTCACCTCTGCTATTAAAGTTAAAGGTATAGGATGCTGCTGAGGGCACAAATAAGCACTAAGGATAAAGGGACCCCTGACCATTAGGTCCAGTTGTGGCCGACTCGGGGGTTGTGGTGCTCATCTCGCTTTATTGGCTGAGGGAGCCAGCGTACAGCTTCCGGGTCATGTGGCCAGCATGACTAAGCCGCTTCTGGCGAACCAGAGCAGCGCACGGAAACACCGTTTACCTTCCTGCCAGAGCAGTACCTCTTTATCTACTTGCACTTTTGATGTGCTTTCGAACTGCTAGGTTGGCAAGAGCAGGGACCGAGCCTCAGGAGCTCACCCCGTCCCGCTAGATCAGGCTTAAATCTACCTTAAGCCTAAAGCTTTTGCTATGAACAAACCAACAAGAGTGCTTACTCATTTGGGCGTGCCCTTCATTTTGCAGAAGATACTGAATTTCTTCACTAGGCGGCAGTATAAACCCTACTTTTAATACTAAAGCTTCTTTTGAACTGGGAGGAAACCAGAGCCATTTCAGGGTATTTTCTTTCAACTTCCTCAATAAAGTTAATTTCAGTCTTACACTTTAAAAAAAAATATTTTGAAATTTAAAACTAAAATACAAAATGAAGCTTATATACTGTGCTAATGCTACTTTTCCTTGCCGCAGAACTCCCCGCGACATAGATGGGGAGAAGAGGAACCAAATTCACAAATGGTAAAGAATATTTTAAAAAATTCACAAGATACAGGAGAGAGAATTGTTTTTTCACAGAAAATGACTTGGTGTACTATGAGGTGGGCAACTGGATCACGCTAAAGGACCAAATCTAGAACTGAACCTACTTCTGTGGGCCATTTTGATAGGTGCTTGGAACCACCCACCTATTAATCACCTGCCATCATATATGATGGACCAGAAACTATTACTGTTAAAAGGAAATGTGAAAAATTGGGGGAGGGGTCCACCTCTTTTCCCACCCCAACCAGGTACCTCTGATAATCAGCATCACTTTATGAAAATAAGGGAGGTTGTTGTTTTTAAGCATTTTTGCTTAGAGACAACAACATTAATCAGCTGCCCTTTCAGCTCTCTGTGCTGCTTGAGTAGCATGGACCAACTAGAGGGATGTTTCACATCTGTTTCTGGATCTAAGTGACCTGTCCTGCAAGGATGAAATAGACTTTGGCAAATCTAACCTCACTTAGATCCTAATAAATTAAAACATATAGACTCTTATTAAAAAAAAATTATTTACAGAGCACTAATAAAATTGTGTGAATTTTTAAAATAGCTTAAAGGTCTTTGCATTTTAGATTAATTGTGCAAATGAGTTCTACACCTACTGCTCTTTTGAATAATCTTGCTATGTTTTCAGGAAAGAGATCATAACAGTGAAGATGAAGATGAAGACAAATATGCAGATGACATTGATATGCCTGGACAGAATTTTGACTCCAAAAGGCGTATTACAGTCCGAAACCTGCGTATTCGGGAGGATATCGCTAAAGTAAGCAGATTCACATTAAGCCTTGTCATTGTGTAGCTGTTGTCTGTGTTTTACTGGTGGATTAAGAAAAGTACACAACATTCTTCTTGCCTTCATCAAGCTTTATTAATTAATATATGCAACCAATAGTCTCTTTTAGATTTCTCATCCTTAACTGAAAATTAATTGCTTAGTGACATTAAGAAATCCATTTAACTTAAAATAAAATGAGGATTTGATTAGCTGCATTGACGAGTTGGCATTAAGAAATCTTCAAGGGATGGTTGGCTCTGTTACCTGCACTGAAGCTTCAAGTCTGTATTCTCATGTCTTTTCAGTACTTGCGGAATCTTGATCCCAATTCTGCATACTATGATCCTAAAACCAGAGCGATGAGAGAGAATCCATATGCCAATGCCGGAAAGAATCCAGATGAGTAAGTTTGAAACTAACTTGCTTGGGTAATTTAAATGTCTTGTGCATCCTTTCAAACATTAATATTTGGGCACCGGTGAAACCCGTACATGACAGTGGAAGTTGAGAAAAGCTTTCTTTAGTACTAATTTGATACTGGGGATTTCCTGGGTAGGATCCAAAACCACATGAATGGACCTCCCTTTTCCCTATCTGCCAGAGGTTTCCCAAACCAGGTTTTAGGGCATGCAAGTGGGGGGGGGGGGTGAATCTGTTCTACCAACAATACCCATTCCACTGGTGAAGAAACACTGTTGGATTTCACCCATGGAAAGAAATTGGATTTGACATCTCCATTGCCCCTAATCATTTGGTTGAAATTAATTATTCTGTTGAATGATTAGTCTCCCTTTATTTAGTAGAATAGCTAAATGCTGCACAGACATTCACATATCCATGTTCTATCCCACTAGGGGCAAGTGCTCTTGAGTTTCTGGGGGGGACTGATACCCAAAAGCTTATATCTCTTTCCTCCAAGCTTTACTTTGTGCTGGAGTAAGGAGTAAATAAAAAATGACCTGAGTCTCTCATGCTGCTTGTTACCATAGCCAAGCTTGAGATGAGACCATGCTTTCCTTTCAAGCCTTCTGTATATAGCCAGAAGGTTCAGTGATAGTCATGGTTTTCTCTTTTGAGTTGCAGTTTGGGGAAAGCAAAAGAGCTGAAATCTCTTGTGTGATTTGTTATCTACAGCTCAGGACTGGTGAGAAACCCCTGCCTCCAAGACCAACAGCACACTTGGGAGGACTTTCATGGGGATGGGAGAGGGTTGGTGGTGAGCATAAATAGAGGCTGGCTTGTAAGTCACCAACAAATGTGGGCCCCAGATGCTGTGTAAGAAAGCTCTGTTGCAGGAGGGTCGCAGCACATTCCTTTCTTGTATGTGGTTTTAATCTGAAAGTTGTTTCTCATACTGCGTTTCGATAATGGATGATTGCTCTAACTACAAGCATATTGCCTGAAAAGCTGGTGCGTGCAGTTGAGTCTCCTCAGAGATGCAAGAAGCAGGCTGGATTTTACAGATCTATGGCAGAGCTCGTCACTTATGTTGCTTTTGGGGGTGGTGCGGGGACTTGCGGGGATGAAGCACATCTTTGCAAACATGGGAATGGCTCCTTTCAATGAAAGTGTCCTAACAAAGAAGAAAGAACTCATTTTGTAATGTAAAACCACTCATATTTCCTGTGCATCCTGGTTACTTACAAGGTCTTTCCTTCCAGGGTCAGTTATGCAGGTGACAACTTCGTTCGTTACACGGGGGCTACCATTTCAATGGCGCAAACTCAGTGTAAGTACTGAATCTGCCAGACGTGTTTCCTTCAGTTGCACCATCTACTACTACTTAATGAAACCTGCTTTTGACAGTGGAAGGAACTATTCTCAGTTTAATCTTCAGGGGAGTTTCAATTTGGGGCAAATAGAGGGAAAGGGTCCTTATTCAGAGGAAACCCCCCCCCCAAAAAAAAAAAAAAAACTTTAGAGAAATATTGAGGGTTTTCAATGTTCCCCCTTGCATACCTCCTCTTGCCCTCAAAAAAAAAAAGGAAAACAAACTGTGCTAGGTGGTGTATTTGTGCCTCCATACTGCCAAAGGAACACTGGCTGCAGAGAGCATCATGCAGTTGTGAGTTCTCTTAGGCTTCTGAGGCCAAGAGTTAGGCTGAAAGGAAGTAGCTGTTTGTTTGTTTGTTTGCTCACTCACTTCCCTTCAGCATGGGGTATAAAATGGGGGGGGGGGGCTGCAGTGATGCAGGTGTCCTCCAAGCCCAATGTCCCCTTTGTATCCTTAGATAATTCTCCAAGGCAGTTCTCTTTCCTCTGCCCCTTGGAAACCATGAACCCTCTGCTCAAAGCAAGTGGGTTCCAGGCCAGCTGTTCTTGAAGCTGGCTCAGTAGAGCCAAGCCTAGAGAGATTCATGGCAGCTGTTCCTAGAACTGGCTCTGTGAAGCTGAGAATAATTCATGGGAGTAGAAGGGAAGAGTGAAAACAGAGAGAACCTTACCTTTGCCTTGTCTTCCTTTAGCCCCACTTCCCCCAAAATTATTTGGTTCCTATTGAGAGCACAACCAGCTTATACCTTGAAGTTAGTCTATATATCAGCAAATAGTTACTGCAAACATTCTCTCTCCTTAATTCCTTAAAAGTGTTTGCCTGGGAAGCCTATGAAAAAGGCTCTGAAGTTCATCTTCAGGCAGATCCTACAAAACTTGAACTCTTGTATAAGTCCTTCAAAGTGAAAAAAGAAGACTTCAAGGAGCAGCAGAAAGAAAGCATCCTGGAGAAGGTAAATCAGCCTCCTAAGCACCAGACTAGTAGCTGTAGGCAACCAGGGATTTTTGCATGCAGCAATAGAAATGCAGCAAGCAAGATTTACTGAATTACGTATTTTGAACAGAACTGTGTGCCAGTTTGTAAGGTTTTATAAATTTGTACGGTTTTATAAATAAAAAAACCCTTCATTTAAGCCCCTTAAAAGAATCCAACACACAACAAGGAGTAAATAGGTTCACAAGCCAATCTGATTTTTGAAGTGGAAATGGATTTATAATCTAACCTTGCTGTGCATTTGCTGCTAGAAATTTATGCAGTTTTGCTTGTGTTGGTGTGTTCTATTCTACTGAAGAGAAATTTGAAAATGCTTTCAATACACATGCACATGAACTCTTTAAAAGAGCACAGTGGACAGGCAACAACCATTTTGCGCACATACAGTTGATGCACAACCGCCAACATGCGGGTTATTTTAGACCTGGGAAATGGCAGGACAGGCTTCGGTGTGCTCCACTGACCAGAAACACAACCCCATACAAATTGGGTTGCCTGTATATAAGGATAGCATAGTGGCTTACAGTTGATTCCTGCAATATCCAGATAGGGATTCTTGATTAGTAAAGTACTGTATAGTTAAACTAGATAATCCTTTGCTAAAGATTTTTCCAAACTTTATTTCTTAACAGTACGGAGGACAAGAACATCTGGATGCCCCACCGCCTGAGTTGCTGCTTGCTCAGACGGAAGATTATGTGGAATATTCTAGACATGGAACCGTTATTAAAGGCCAAGAGAAGGCTGTTGCTCGTTCTAAATATGAGGAAGATGTAACTATCAACAACCACACAGTAAGTAACCAAGAACAGGAAACCTTACTAAAAATAAGGCTGCACTTTATATTTTGAATAAGGGTTCTACTTCTCAGAATTAATTCTGAGCTGTGCTCCCCTTCAGCTGCAAGCAGCCAAATTCTGACCTGCATGCAGTTCATAGGTATGAGTTGAGTTCTCCTGTGCTTACATGGTCACCACTTCACTGTAAAACAGTTGGTTTTAAAAGTTACTTATTACAATGATTCCTTTGCAGGGAGAAGCAATAAAAGCTGCCTTCCGTCCTTCCGCTTATTGTGGGCAGAAGGAACCTTCCTTTAACATAGGGTGACCTCTAGATCCAGCCCCATCGTTTCACTTTGCAAATATTTGACTTGGGAACTTGAAAAATCAGTTTTCAAAATCTGCAGATACTGTACATCTGTTCAGGGTGCAGTTCAGCAAAAATAAAGCGCTTTATGTCCCATTTTGGCAGCAGAATTATGCATATATTCAGAAACTCAGTCAAGTAAACTAAAACATCAAAAGGGCTGAACTTTGGGTTGCCCCAGATGTTGCAGCCTTTCCTCATAGGGCAGTTGCTGTAACCCTTAGTCCAGCAGCCTTTTCTCACAGTGGCCAACCAGATGCCTCTGGGAAGCCAACAAGCAAGAACTGAGTACAACAAATCCTTCCTAGGCTGAAGATTTAAGTTTAATAAATCCTCTGTAAGTAGATTTCATGATTTCAGGGAAAGTAATATTTCTCAAAAGTTTAGTTGTATCCTGAACAACATTTATATAATTCTATAACTTTACATCAGCACAACCAATGGTGGTAAAAGTAACTGATTTTACTTTTCTTTTTGTTCCCCCTGCAGTGCATTTGGGGTTCCTATTGGAAAGAAGGCAAATGGGGATACAAATGCTGCTACTCATTTGTAAAGTATTCGTATTGCACAGGAGAAGCTGGAAGAGAAATTGCAGTAAGAACTGGCCTAAGAAATAAATTTTCCACTTCTAAGTTTTAAAAAATCCAGGCTAATACTTGTTTCTCCTGTTGAATTTTATTTTCTCTCCTATTTATTCTCTCTACAGAATGCTGATGAGGAATTGCCCATTGAAGTGCCTGAGGAAGAGTATGTGACCAAACAAAGAACTCTAGTGGAGGTAGGTTGCCTTTTTCTCCTGTGTGCTTCCCTTTACAAAAAAAAAAGAAAAAGAAAAGAAAAACCTATTGTGTGTCAAGGGGAAGAGAGATAATTTTAGTTTGTAGAGCAGGAATGGGGAACTGCATCCAGCCAGCAGGCCAGATCTCCATGCCCACTGCAAGTCACCTGCCATCACTAGGTGAAGTTGTTTTTCTTTGCAGACAAACTTGAACTCAAGTCAGGCTGCAAAGAAAGGTCACTGCAGCCAATACCAGCTGGGGTTGTAGTCAGTGCCAATCAGCTAAGTGACGCTGATTAAAACCTCTGCTTTTGGCAGGAATCAGTTGCGCTTGGGAGCTCAGATCAGGAGTTCTTTAATGACACTAATCTCAGCGGAGCTTGTATTTGGCATCAAATTTTAAAGGTGCCGAATGCAAGTCCTGCTTAGCAAGAAACAATTGGCAGCGCCCTTTAATCGTTCCTTTGCAGCTGTGTCTTTACTTGCTCCACACCTGGTGTTACATACATCTGGTGTGTAGCAGATGGATGTGGTTTAAGGGAAACTGCCCCATGGGCCCAATTAAACCCCCGCCAGGCCTAATTTGGCTTGTGGGCCGGAAGTTCCCCACTACTGATATAGAGGAATAGTTCTCTTTAACTGCAAGATCCGCCTAGTGGTTATTCAAAATAAGAAGGTACAGCCCATGTAACATTTCATCCTTCAAAGTCTCAAAAAGTCCCTAGGTTCGTTTACTGCAAGTTGTTATACGTGGGGCTGCCTCCGAATACTATTGCTTTTTTCCACCCTCTGCAGATGCATCAGGAAAAACAAAAAGAGGAGAAGAAGAAAAAGAAGAAAAAGCACAAGAAGAGTACAGGTTCTGATAGTGAAGAAGATAGAAAGAAGCAGGAAAAATTAAAGAAGGTATGCTTGAAATAAGAATAATCTGCCAGCTGCATTTTTCTTGCTTATTAGTAATTTTCAAACTGATGGATTCCTTTTGTTAGCCGATGTAAAGTGTTGAATACAACTTGGTGACTTTTTAGTCATACTCTTTTGGGTGAATACTTGTGACGGTGTTTAGACCAGTAGCCAACAGTTGGAATCCCATGGGCTAAACCTACATTATGCCACATGATCACCTTAATGCTGCAGACAATTTCTCTCCATCCCTGCCTATCATTTAATGAAACCTCACTCCCTGTATTGGATCTTGCTGGCTTCTGTAAACTAATATTGTCACACAGTTACGGATTGTGTTTTGTTTTCCTTTAGGCACTGAATGCTGAAGAAGCCCGTCTCCTTCACGTGAAAGAAATAATGCAATTAGATGAGAGAAAGAGGCCATATAACAGCATGTATGAAAGCCGAGAACCAACAGAGGAGGAAATGGAAGCTTATCGAATGAAGCGCCAGCGGCCAGATGATCCTATGGCCTCGTTTCTGGGGCAGTAACTTTTATGAAAGAACTTGCAAGCCCACAGGACTTGGGTGTTGTTTTTATATTTGATCACCGAGTAGAACACCTGTCAGTTTTCTGTATTGTATTGTGTATGTGTATATAAATATGGCATATAAATATGGCAATATTTCAACTGAAAAAAGAGTGTGTACAGTTTACATCTTGTGTTTCCTTTGTAAATGCAAATGTTTTGTCAGCCATAACCTGCTGGTTGCAGTTATGATGCCCAGTGGGTTTATTAATTCAAAAAGGCAACATTCTTCTCTCACTCAGAATGTGTCACATCCCCAAACAAAAAATAACAGGAGTCACTATTTCTGCTGTTGAAAGGGAACAAGAGTTTGGTACTTTCCACTTGGCAAATACACAGTTGTAACCTACTTTTATGTATAAATTAACTCAGTACAGTTGAGGGGGGGGTATTCTTATCAGAAGTTAACAGAATTCTACTCTTGTGAAACCATTCTTCTGGTTAAAAGCTCAGACAGCTCAGCAGAATTGGATGAGATTTCCAAGTAACTCGTGTGTCTTAAAAGTGTTGCTCTGGGAGTTAGCTATCAGAACATCTTCCCCAATTGCTCTGCATCCATCATCTAAAGTACCAGTTCCTTTTCTTTCCTCCCATCCTCCGTGCTTGCATGCTGGAAGCACAGGATTGTACTCACAGTTGTCAGCAATAGCTGTGGCATATAACGTTAAATGCTCATTTTTCAGCACAGGTGAGCTGGATTCTAAGTGTAATAGATAATGAACCAGATATCATCTTCCTTTTCTGGCATCCTTGGGACACAGCTAGGCTTTTGAATACCCATCCCAAACCATTAGGATAGAGGCATAACTTCATGAACCAGAGTCTGCTTCTTCAGATGCATGAAGTATTGCCCTCAGTTGGAAGATAAATGTACACCTGTAGGCATGGAGGGTGGAGGCATCTTGAAGGAGGGTGCAGTCTGTGTCTGTTCTTCATAGCACTCAGATTAAGACAGTAGCAGCTTCCCCTCACAATGTCACACATTAATGTAATAGTGGGACAGAAATCCCCAGTGAATAGAATCCCTAAATGAATAGAATCATATTTGCTGATAAACTAGAATTTAACATAGAACTGTAGTTTTGGAAGGGAACCAAACCCCTACAATGCAGGAATCTCAACTGAAGCATCCATGTCAAATGGCCATCCAACCTCTGCTTAAAAACCTCCTGCTTCCATAACCGAAGGGGAACCATTCCATATCTTCATACTCCAGTCTCCTGAAGTTATTTGTTGTCCAATAATAGTGATTGTTCTGGTCATTAGCAGAGTGTCCTGGAAGATTTAAGTGTCCCCTACTAACCTGGGATTTTAATGAGAGACACTTATTCATTCTTCTGCCTAAACCATAGAGATGTTTTTCCTATTATGATAGCAGAGGGGCATTGTTGGCAGATGCTAGATACATTTCACTGGCAAATATGCCCTAGTGATGTAGCTGTTGGGTCTTGGAAAAGGGAAACAATTCATTTTTCAACCTTACGATTTTGAAGTGCTCCTTTGCTTTTTCCATTTTGAATTGGCATTTCTAAGACTTGGTTCCTCCCAAGGCCTGAGAATACTGGACATACTTCCTAAAATGTCAGTAATTTCTTTTATTGAAATTAGATGCGAATCACCCCTGATAAGTCGGGGAGAAAAAAAATTGAAGGAAAATTGTCATTTACATGAAAGCTAACAGCACTAATTCTTACCAGATTTGAAGGGGAATCAAACTTTGATCTAGAGTTCTTTTGTATCCCAAAATGACAACCGTTCACAATGAAAAGCAGGCTGGCCTTAATCATACTTGCTTAGTTTGTGCATTTCTGTGTCCAGTAGAATTTGCATTTTGATGCAGTTAATGTGCAACACTGTTATTGCCTTCATACTGCCAGTCTGCTCACTGGAGGGCCGGTCCCAACCACCAAAACCCCATCTCCAGTTCCTCCTGGTGTTTCTGCCTTTCCCTTGAAGCTCAAGCAACAGCCCTTTTCCATCTTTTCTGTGCTCATTCTCTAGAACTGGACATCCAACCCGCTCTATCCCCAAACTCAGTCCCTTGTGCAATCATTCCTCATGGCTTGCCATGCTATTGAAGTCTGCTGTCACTTCCACTGCCACTGCTAAAACTCACATACTATTGTTTCATCTTCTGTTGCCCTTATTACTGTAAGCCCTCTTTAATGTCCCTGTCCAACAGGAGAATTAATTTAAGGTTCAGCTGCTTTGTGCAACCTTAAAGAAGACACAGTAGCCACAGGGCGAGAACCCATGTTGTCTTATGGGAAAATCCTCTCCCTCCTTTATGCACAATTCTGCCTCTTGCAGTTCTGTTCATAAATGTGAATTTATTTAGTTTAAATTGCCTTGCCCGTTGTGCTCCAGTGAAGCTTGCTAAAATTTTGCAATGTCAAAATGAGACTGCAAGCTTTAAAAAGCAGATTCTATTTTTTTGGCTATGAAACAAGTGCCTGTGGAAGACTCACATTGCCTGAAGTGTTGTTTTAATACATACTAAATATGTCACAATCTAATTGCCTTCTCTCGTGATTCTGTGGTTTTATATATGTACTGCACAACATCTTGGTGCATGATGTTATCTGCAAAAGTGAACTAGCGTTAGGTAGAAAACATGAGCCAAGCCTCTTCAAATGTTGGACTCTGCACAACCTGAATTATTTTGATAGACTTGGTTGATGCTTCTTTTAGAACCTGGTATTGCTGCTTTTCGTTTATTTGATGTCTGGGGGGAAATTTCTTTAAAAGGCTTTTGGCTGTACTAATAGGCAATCTCAGTAGACCAGCTAAAATCTATCCTGATGAAAGCAAATGTAGTCTAAGCTTAGCATTTTGTTTTTCTAATAGACATAGTTTATAGTCTATTCTCTCTAGGGATGTTGCACAAACACTCCCAGACTTCACAAGAGGGATGGGCCAGCACAATATGTACAGTTTTCCAGTAACTAACAAATATAGCCTGGATTTTATGGACATTGGAGCAAAGGGGACTTTGAGAAGGGGGCAGTTGAATCACACAAAAGAGGTGGAAACCTTATGCCCCCAGGATCAGAAAGGAGCAATTCAATACCCTTTGCATCATCTGCACAAAGCAGCTGCTGGTACCTGGATAAAAGGTTGGAGAGGATGCAACTCCAACCAGGTTACACAAACTACAAAGGCGCATGCATGCATGTGCAAAACCAAGGGTGGGACGATGTCATTCGCATTCACCATTAGAACTTAAAACATAAGCAACATAAAAAGCAGGCAAGATAACATGTGTGGATGGTACATGGAGTTCAATCTATTGCCTACAGAAGAAAGGTATGTCCCCAAGGGACATAAACTTCCTTTACCAAAGAATGTGTCTTATGCTGTTACCTTGCATACTATTTCCAGACTGGTAGGTCAAATTTAAAGATGCGGTGAGCACAGCACAACTTATTCCAAGCAACAGCGGCAAGAATCCTTTTAGTCAAAAAATGGAAACAACAAGAAGTACCAACGAAAGAAGAGTGGCAGATGCAAATGATGGACTTTGTGGAATTGGCGAAGCTGACAGGAAAAATCCAAAACCAGCATGATCAAGTACTCCAAAAGGACTGGAATAAATATATACACTATTTGAAAGATTACTGTAAGCAATTAACATCACTAGCAGGGTTGTCTGAAGACTTGTAATGAAAAAATTTCTCCCTTTTTATATTTACTTAAAGCTTTTCACAATTGGAAAACACAGGAAATGAAATGATATACCAGTATTATAAAGGTTAACTTTGAAAGCCATGAAGTGGGAGGGAAGGAAGTTGCCGGGCTCTAAAGAGCCAAAGAGACATAAAGTGGATAACAATGATGTGATGGTATACAGTGGTACCTCGGGTTACATATGTTTCAGGTTACAGACTCTGCTAACCCAGAAATAGTACCTCCGGTTAAGAACTTTGCTTCAGGATGAGAACAGAAACCATGCAGTAGCGGCGCGGCAGCAGCGGGAGGCCCCAATTAGCTAAAGTGGTGCTTCAGGTTAAGAACAGTTTCAGGTTAAGAACAGACCTCCGGAACGAATTAAGTACGTAACCAGAAGTACCACTGTATTATTATATTATTGTGTCCACATGGAGGATTTTTAGCAGCGCCCACTCATTGTTCTCCCCCTGCCAGCTACATCACCTCCCCCGCTTCAGAAGGTGTATCATCGGTCAATTTTCACTCACTTTTCACAGGAGAAAGAGTGGGAATTCCATTTTATAACTACCAGTGTGGACGCGCCCAAGTACATGCCATATGAGAGGAACTGTAAGCAGACTCTTGGCCAAAGCCTGGCTGAGATTTGATTGGACCGCTGCCTGAAGCCAAATAAAATAGCTGTCGGCAGCCAGATTCTGCCTGCCAGCCAAGCATGTTCTGGAGAGTCTCGTGTTGCTTTTAGGTGACCTTACACAAGCCAGTCTTCTGTCTGTGGGTGATAACACACAACTCCTGGCCCCTTTAGAGTTTCTGAGCTTCCGCAGAGCGGGGCTTTTTCCTTTCTTCTTCTCAAGTATCTGGAGCCTTCCAAGCATTTAGCCACATGTGTGTAACGTTTTCTCCCCTGTCTCACGTGACACGAGGCAGAAGCTCAAACATTACACAATAATCAAAATATGCCTCTGGCAAAGCTGAGCCAAAAAGCTGAAGCCGCTGCAAGAAAGTGGGAATGCAAATGAAAGAAACCCATTTTTCCTAAATCGAGCAAGGCATCTGAGAATGCAAAATCGCAAGCCCTTCGTTTAAAGGAAAGGTTTTGCAAGAATAGCTAGGAATCCCACGAAGCTGGACAACTATGCTCTGCAGTGAAACATCTGTTTGAGATTCTTCAGCTTTCCTACTGGATGTCAGGATCTTTTTCTGGAAGACATTTGTGCTTGTGAGTACTATTTTTATTTATTAAAATGTTTTCTAAAGAAGACTTGAACAGTCTTAACAGGCTTAACAGGCTTGATCCAAGGCTGCAATCCTAATCCCAGTTTCCTGGGAGTAAACCACAATGAATTCAGTACGACTTACTTCTCAGTAGGTATGGTTAGGCTTGCACTGTGAATCCCACTCGCACACTTATTCTCAGGAAAGTGTGCACAGGATTGCAGCCCTGCAGCCCCCATACATGTTTACTCAAAAGTCAATCCCCTCGGGTTTCATGAGGGCACTGTCCCAGGTTAACAGTGGGTAGGATGGCAGTCTTTGAATGGTTAATTCCTTGCAGACTGGACAGAACTCCTTAATCGAGCCAATTGCAAGTTAAAAAGAAGAATGCACTGGGGAAAACGCTGCGTTTAATTTATGAGAGTTGTCTGTCTGTGCAACCCTTGTAAAACTTTCCTCTTTTGCACAGAAACTTTGCAATAGGAAGAGTCCCAGGGAATCATTATGCTGGTTCAACAACAGCTAAGCTCCAACTTCTGAAACTGGGGGGGGACGGGACAGAGAGAAGGGCCAAGTTCATTCCTGGTATCGTTCTCTTCCCTCTTGCTGAACTCCACACCAGACAACTACTAACTACCCTTTTAGACTTGAAGACTCCACACTACCCTTAATGTGTTGTGTCAGGGGTGCCAACCTGAATAAAATATTGTAGGGACCCAGGTAAGACCCGTCCCACATAACTGATCACATAATGTGGTGCATGCACGCCATTTAAATGGCAATGCCCATCAACTTGGGGGGCCCGGCCCCCTAAAATAGTTTATTGGGGAGCCAAAGCCCCCTCAACCGCTAGGATATGGCTCCTATGTGTCATCTCACTGGGTTTTGATCAGAGGATGTGCTGTTTTTATACGAACCTCCTAGCCCTGTTTCTCCTAGAGACCCCCCACAATTTACCCCCCACAAATTCCAACAGTTTAGAAACTGTAGCCTCACAGATTTGGTCTGAAGTGGCAGTTGCCACGTAACCTTGAAGTATGACTTTGGGACATAGAACTTTTGCCTTTGGAGGTCAGATTAAAGTTTCTAATGGGATCAGACTGCTCCCCTTATCTACCAAACAAAAGCTCAGGTGAAGGGGGCGGAAACCACCCTCCCATCTTTCCAAATAGCTTCAAATCAATAATAACAATTCAATGTCTTAGTACCCCTTCACCATTAGGTTCCGTTGTGGGTTACAACATTAGAAAGATACAAGATTAAAATGAGTTTAAACTATTTAATGTCAAGAAATGGCTGGATTCATATTCAGTTGTCAAAGGATAGAATAAAGAGGGGCATCAAATCCTACAGTCTACAACCGAATCCAGCTTCTTTTTCCCCATTACAGTATTGCAGAGTGAGATTTCACCAACACCTTCCTTTCAGCAAATAGGACTCGAGAAAATCAAAAGACAATAACAACAATTAATAGGACTTGTTAGGTTTCACAAGTCAATTCCTGTTCTTAGATCCTGCAGATTACCCCTCCCTCAGACAACTCTCCATTGGCAAGCTAGCTGGAACCTAACAAAAATGTAGACTTGGGCTTCAGTGCCATACCTACTTGCTGCCACTTTTGTTGAACTCAGGCTATGTACACATTAGTGGCTGAAAACACAGTGAGGTGGTTTCCCACTGCTGTGTTTCAAGTTTCATTTGCACATTGCAAATGGGGATGGAGATGGATGTCTCCACTCAACTCCCATTACCTGCTTGGTTTGCCCATGCCTGCAACCCCCCTGAAAGTGGCTTTGTGTTTTCAAGGTGGTTTGAAGGAAAAACGACCTACATAAAGCAGCATTTCTCAAGAAGCATTTTGCCTCCCAACAACCCTGTAAAGAAGGCTAGGCTGAGAGATGGTGACTGGTGCAGAGGCTCATGCCTGAGTAGGATTCCCTGTGCCTTGTCCGGCACTCTAAGCACAACACTGATGAGTCAACAAAGAAATTATATCTGCGCTACTTTTGTTTTCGTGGTTTTTATTTCTTTGGAGGGTGGCTTTTATGGTTCATGTTGCAAATATAGTTGGACGGAGCTTTGTTTTCTTTTTATTGTCAGCTGCCTTGAGTAACTTTACGTTGTAAAAGACAGGATATAAATATTTATAGATATGAGCAACAGTGTCTGAAAAGGGAACTATAAAATAGCCCCTTTTAGCAAGAAGGATGGCAAATGTAGATGAATATCCCTACACAGGTTCCAGGGTTGAATCACCCTTGCTGTTACTCAAATTCAGCCCTGGAGATCCTAGACTGAAGTTATCCAAAGAGCTGCATGGTTTTTTTGGGGGGGGGGGGGCGGTTATTGGAAGGGGTGTCTCAGATGTGGGTGAGTCTCTGTACAGTATTTAATTTATTCAGCAATCAAGGATCCATTTTAGCTCTGCTGATTGTAAACGCTCTACAGAGTAGAAGGAGTTATGGTCTCCACACAGATGATGGGAACCCACACAATGGAAAAAATTACAACTCTCCCCTCCCCATCCAATATGATTTATTCCCACCCCCTCAGTGACTTCCTGTATTTCTAGTTCTTTGCTTGAGGCATCATATGGATGTGCTGTTAGCCTGTTCAAAGATTCAGCTGCCTTCTGCTGAGCCAGGACACTGGTTAATCTTCCTCTGTATTGTCTCCACTGACTGGTAGAGTCTACTCAAGTTGAACACCCCCCTAAAAAAAAAACACCACCCAGTTAAGGGGCTCCTTCTCAGGGGCCTGGCCTGGGATCTTCATGATATGGTGCTAGTTTTAGTAACAAAAAAGTTTATTACACAGTCCCTAAAAAAACTGCAGTTTTCAAGTGATCAATAGAGGGGCATGGGGAGGTTTGAAAGTTGTTGGATTACAGTGTTAGAGCTCAGATTATATAGGTGTGAAATGGCTCCTTCAACCAAGGTTACAGTTGCCAAAACGGAATGTCTAGTTGCTATTTGGGGGCAATGATTTTTAAAATGATTGACTGTGATTGATTCTCAGTTAAACCTCTGACTAATTCAGATGACAACCTTGAGCAAAGTTAAGAGCCTTGAGAATTTAAAGAAAAGTCACTTGATCCAGGGACAGTCCACAAATATATTGGCCTGTTCTGACGCCTTTTTCTTAATGGTGACTCCTCCTGCTCAGGCTGCACAGAAAAAACATTTTGGTTCCAGAAATTCATTTCAATTGTGCAGATAAAACGTAACTGATAGAATTCTACAGGGTGGGGTATTAAGTGTGCGGAAACAGCCCAGATCCAACGATCCCCAGGCATGCACCTCCAGATGGTGGAGTTAACAGGCGCTCTTCACTTGGCTGCAAGCAGTCAAAAGTCAGGTGCAAAATGTGCCTGATGCCTGGCTACTTTCAAACACCACTGGATTAGACCCTTCTTGCTTTGGAAAGAAAGAGTGCCTTATATGTAAGCTGGAAATCACACTGTGCATGAGAATTAAACATCTTACAAGTCTGTATCTCAAAGGCTTCAGCTGATGAGTTCCAGAGGCCACTGGATCGAAAGCCAGTCCTTTTCTTGGACAGGACCCCTCTGCACCAAAAATAAAATAAAATAAAATGCAGTCATACCTCGGATTACAGATGCTTCAGGCTGCATTTTTTCGGGTTACAGACCGCCAAAACCCGGAAGTACCAGAACGGGTTACTTCCAGGTTTTGGCCATCACGCATGTGCAGAAGCGCTAAATCACGCTTTGCGCATGCACAGAAGCACCGAATCGCAACCCGCACATGCGCAGATGTGCCGCTGCGGGTTGCAAACGCTGCGGGTTGAGAACATGCATCCCGCACGGATCACGTTCACAACCCGAGTGTCCACTGTAAAATAAAATAGGAAGGAAGAAGGAAGTGCATTCTTCCCACTGTTATAAGAAAAAACTGCTCCCTTCCTGTTATGGGGTATTCCAGAGCCCATATAGAGTCCTTAAGTGGGTTCCCTATCAGTAGCAGAAAATAACAGAAGCCAACCAGAGTATATTCAGAAGCAAAGCAGCTAGTAAGCCTGGTCTTTATTCAAGGAACTGTTGCAACATGGTCCTCACTCCCCACACGCAGGAGGGAGGAGAACCCTGAACAATGGCGCGCAAGCCCTTATCTAGACTTTTGAAATTGCCCACCCTGTAGTCCGAGACCACCACCCCCTAAAACATCATACATATATCACATTTCCATGCACTCTGGTTTCCATCACGGTGTTCCATTGTGCCAGAAGCGGTTTAGTCATGCTGGCCACATGACCCGGAAAGCTGTCTGTGGACAAACACCGGCTCCCTCGGCCTGAAAGCGAGATGAGAGCCGCTACCCCATAGTCGCCTTTGTTGTTTTTTTTTTTTTAATAATTTTTTATTAAGGTTTTAAACAAAGAAAAAAGAAAAACAACACACACAAAAAACAATACAAAACTTAACAATAAAAACAAAACATAACAATTAAAAACAAACTCTCTTTTCCATTTCCGATTTTAGATTACTTATTTTCTGGACTTCCTCATACCTCCTTTTTTTGTATTCCAATCCACATTATTTGTCCAGCAGTTTCTTTTCCACTTTTTTAATCCCAATCTTTAATTTACTAAAATGTTAAAATATATAACTTCAACTTTTTTTTTTAAACTTAATCCTTGCTCTTAATGTCATATAGCTTTAAATTTTTCCCTTTTATTATCAAATTTCCATTTCTTTAAACATCTTTAATCTTAATCTTTAATCTTAATCTATCCTTAACTTTAACCTGTACAGCTGGAAACCACTTATTTCAATCCAACATCACTCTAACATTCCTTAATTTTGCAGTGTTTCTGAAGATAGTCTTTGAATTTCTTCCAGTCTTCCTCCATCGACTCTTCTCCCTGGTCACGGATTCTGCCAGTCATTTCCGCCAATTCCATATAGTCCATAAGTTTCATCTGCCATTCCTCCAGCGTGGGAAGTTCTTGTGTCTTCCAATACTTTGCGATGAGTATTCTTGCTGCTGTTGTTGCATACATAAAGAAAGTTCTATCCCTTTTTAACACCATTTGGCCCACTATGCCCAGGAGAAAGGCCTCTGGTTTCTTGGGGAAGGTATACTTAAATACCTTTTTTAATTCATTATATATCATTTCCCAGAAAGCCTTAATCTTTGGGCACGTCCACCAAAGGTGAAAAAATGTACCTTCAGTTTCTTTACATTTCCAACATTTGTTATCGGGCAAGTGATAGATTTTCGCAAGCTTGACTGGGGTTATGTACCACCTGTATATCATTTTCATAATATTCTCTCTTAAGGCATTACATGCCGTAAATTTCATACCTGTGGTCCATAACTGTTCCCAGTCAGCAAACATAATGTTATGTCCAACGTCCTGTGCCTATTTAATCATAGCCGATTTTACCGTTTCATCCTGAGTATTCCATTTCAGCAGCAAGTTATACATTCTTGACAGATTCTTAGTTTTGGGTTCTAACAATTCTGTTTCTAATTTGGATCTTTCCACCTGGAAGCCAATTTTCCTGTCCAATTTAAATGCCTCCATTATCTGATAATAATGAAGCCAGTCTCGCACTTTGTTTTACCCCATAGTCGCCTTTGACTGGACTTTACCATCTGGAGTCCTTTACCTTTACCTTTTACTACATATATCACAGAAGGAGGCAATCTACAGCACAAATCCTGCCTGCCAGGATACCTGATAATGGTCACTGATTACATTACCTGGGCAGTCTGGCAATTCTTTTGTGATGGTTAATACTTTAGTTCCTGAATCCAGGTCACAGGCTCACCCTATTCATACACAAATATGCCCTTAAGGGAGGATTTGCAAGCAAAAAAGACAATGGGAAGGCTTTCCCCATTTGCCTCCCTTCCTGCAGGGGAATATTTGAGGTCATTGGGAGAGTCAAAATGGCTTCAGGATTGCTCTCCCATACTATTTCAGACACATGGCTCATATATTTAGATATGTGTGCATTTATGAATATTTATTCTATATTTGAGACCTTAAAATTCTTATAACACCACCATCCGTGCTTTCCATTCTATCCAGCAAATGTGGCTGGCCTTTAGATTCAGTGATGGCTCCTCGGCTCCTTTCTGCCCTGTTGTTTCTCAGCTGCTGGATTTCTTCGCCGAAGAAGCAAAGTTATAAATGCTGATATTACCACTGGCGGAGTGGAAGCAACATATATTTATTCTGGCTTCTCAGTGCTTTAAAAATTAAGTCTGCCTGGAGGCTACAGCCCTTGACCTGGAAATTCTGACTGTAAAACTCAGATGTGTGTGTGGATTGGCTGTCATTGCTTAATGCTGTCATTCCCCGTGACGGGGAAATACTTTGCAGATGTCCAGACCCATTGACTTCTCATTACTCTACTTTTTTTACGGATCGAGCTCTGGCAGGTTTTATGTCTGAGGCCCCGGTTGTGATCCCTCTGGCTAACAAAAGGGGCATGAGAATTCGATGAAGTTTATACATCTGGTTTTGAAAACGTACAAGGAGAGATGGTATTCAATAGGCACCAGCTTGTGTATTTCAGACATCAGGTATTACTACAATAATTGTGCAGTATTAATGGAGCAATTCACCAGTAACTGCTCAGTATGTGAAAAGCAGTTGCAAACAGAGGGAAATAGAGATTAGCCCCACCTCCAGCCTGCTTTTGCATGCTCTTAATCCCTAAATAACATTAATTTGTAACACATTTCTCCAGCAAGTGATTTGAGATGAGAAGATCCACGGCAAAGGATGCAGTGTGTGTTTCATTCCTGCCCCCCGCCCCCAAATATGCCACGCACACACAATTTATTCCCTACCAACCCAGATCTAAGGATAGGCTTGGGAAGTGATGAGTCTTATTTTTTATGTTCTGTTACTGGAATTTATCCTCCTCCCATCTCTACAGCTCAGAGCAGGAAATGACACCCATCCGTATATATATAAAGCCAAATTCACATAGTACACTGTTCCATGACTTAACCATGTTTAAGGTCAGAGTTTTATTAATGAAATGCCTTTACCTTTCAAATGCATCTAAGATGCTGCATAGTCATTGTTTTATCTTCATAACATCCTTGGAAGGCAAGTCACTTTTTCTTATTTCTCCTACTGTATTTTGTCCGTTTCCTGAAGCTGAGATTATGATGATAGCAATCTTAATGGTAATTGTAGTAATGCAACAATGCTTAGCATTTACATCACAGTCAAGAGTCCTCAAAGAACTCCATATAAATTATCTCCAGTAATCCCCTTACAGCAAATGAGAACTGATGCTTGCCTAAAGCAACCTATGTAGTTCATATGTCTAAGGAGGACTTGACTGGCAGTTAGCATCATGGCAGTAGTTAAGAGCTGCCCAGGAATTTGGCAGTGAAGGAAGGAAACAGATAAAACGAGCTGAACGTCAACTTCCTGGCTCACACCAGCTTCCTCTACTTCTGGTGTGGCCTGTTTAAAGCTATTTATTTTGCCCATGGCTGTGCTTCAAATTCAAGAGGACGATCCACTGTTGTTGTTTAGTCGTTTAGTCATGTCCGACTCTTCGTGACCCCATGGACCAGAGCACGCCAGGCACTCCTGTCCTCCACTGCCTCCCGCAGTTTGGTCAGACTCATGCTGGTAGCTTCGAGAACAAGCCCACACTAATTCAAAAGCACTTCTGTTTAACTTCACCTTCCTCATGCTGCAAACTCTCAAAATCCAAACAGCATCGGAAGGGCAACGTGACACCAGAAAGAACTAGGCGGGGATTTTGGCAGTCTGGGGAGAGGATGAATAAAAAGCTAAATGACAAGTTTCTCATTATACCAGAGAGAATTTGCACACAAGGCTTCACAAAGTCTTTGGCGTGTTAGGGCAGGCCACGTGTTGACTGGATATTGCTAGCTAACCCAGCCTTGGGTCTTTATTCCAGTGTGGCTGGCTCCTAGCACGACATCAGCCTCTGTGGCATTGCAGAAGGTTCTGGACTGCTCTTGAGATAGATCAGGTTCATGTGCTGTGCCTAGCAGAACTGTGTCACCCAAGCAGCTCTGCCGTCATCTGCCTGTATGCTCAAGTCAGCCCTTTCCCATCAAAAGCTCTTTGGCCATGGACCCTGGGATGCATATGGATTTGAACCCTGCCATTCTCATCTGCTCTGAAGCTTGTGGCGTTTACGTGTGCCTGCTGCAATACAAGCCCATAACTATCTGTCTTTAATTTCTTACAGGCATCACCATGATCTCCCTGGTTCTGTTTGTCTGGATTGTGCCCTGCGTGGCCAGTCAGCTCGTCAGCAGCTTTGCGAAAGCAGAAAGTCAGAAAGGTTCCAAGCAGGTCATCTGCAGCGTGCCAGGACCACAAGGCCCTCCTGGTGTGCCTGGAGCTCCAGGTTCCCCTGGGACGATGGGAAGGATGGGTTTCCCAGGAAAAGATGGACAAGATGGAAAGGACGGGGAGAAAGGGGAGACAGGGGAGGAAGGTAAGAGACTACTGCTCCCTTTTAAAGCTCAGTCTGTAGCAACAGGAAGTGACACAAAGCAGGAGCATCCAAATGGATCAGTCCCAATGCAGTCCCAGTTGGGTGCCTACCTGCCCTTATTAATGGTGTACTGTTAAATTTTGAAGTGCAGGTACTTTTCATGACACTCCTAATAGCCATGTCCCTTCTAAACAAACAAAACTGGACTTTTTACCAGTGCAGCAGACATTACGTCTGCATGTTTGAATTTTTAGAGATCTTATTGTTTGAAAACTATGGTGGGTCTCTTTTTTTTTAGTCATGAGGCTTGAGTTTCTCACGAGACTCTGGGAGAAACCAGGCACCAAAATGACACAGGTGCTAATATCTCACATAGTCTGAGCAAGGATGACGCTATAAGATGTGTCATTGTCTCTGAAAAATGGAACAACAGCATTATTATTATTAGCCAAGTGATTAGCCACAGTATTAAAACTGTGAAAGGGAATTATGGGGCAAAGAATTATGGGAATTATGTTTCTGCCTTCAAACAGGAGTCAGCGCTCCATCTTTTTCTGTTAAAAATAGTGGCGTGTATCCAACATTTCATAGAATCATAGAATCATAGAGTTGGAAGAGACCACAAGGGCCATCGAGTCCAACCCCCTGCCAAGCAGGAAACACCATCAGAGCACTCCTGACATATGGTTGTCAAGCCTCTGCTTAAAGACCTCCAAAGAAGGAGACTCCACCACACTCCTTGGCAGCAAATTCCACTGTCGAACAGCTCTTACTGTCAGGAAGTTCTTCCTAATGTTTAGGTGGAATCTTCTTTCTTGTAGTTTGGATCCATTGCTCCGTGTCCGCTTCTCTGGAGCAGCAGAAAACAACCTTTCTCCCTCCTCTATGTGACATCCTTTTATATATTTGAACATGGCTATCATATCACCCCTTAACCTCCTCTTCTCCAGGCTAAACATGCCCAGCTCCCTTAGCCGTTCCTCATAAGGCATCGTTTCCAGGCCTTTGACCATTTTGGTTGCCCTCCCCTGGACACGTTCCAGTTTGTCAGTGTCCTTCTTGAACTGTGGTGCCCAGAACTGGACACAGTATTTCTGCTCAGCTCACACAGCAGACTTCCACATGTGCGACAGATTCCCCCTCCTCTCCCCTGTAGCCCCTCACCTACCCTCAAAATCTGCTACAGAGGGTTGAAGGACACCCCCCCACACACACACAGCAGATTGGGGGTGGCACAGGGAGAGGAGGGAGAAATTGAACTTTGTGAGCATGAGCAGAACTTGTTTCGTGCAGGGTTGGATTCAAACCAATGTTTTCAAAAGTCCAGAACCTATTTTGTGTGTGTATGTTATCATGATGTATACTAACATTCCAGGCTCAGATACTGACGCTTTAAAGCAGTGAAAGTAGCTAACTGCTGCCCTGCCCCCACACCCAATACAGACAGAATCTGTTATTGAAAGGAATTCCTCCTGCACATCCCGGACCGCAGCTATTGCCCCTGCACGTAGCAATGTCTTGGAAACACCCTAAAACTCCGGCGGCAGCTAAGTGGCCAGTTACTTACGGAAGTCCATTTCTCTCCTAGGTCCACAAGGCAAGACAGGAAATCCCGGCAAGGCAGGGCCAAAGGGAAAGGTGGGAGCCATCGGCAAAGCTGGTCCCCGTGGTCCAAAGGGCCTGAAGGGGAACCCCGGGAAAAGCGGAGGTGTGGGGAAGAAAGGCCCCAAAGGAGCCCTTGGGGACCCTGGGATGCCAGGCCCCTGCAGCTGTGGGGCAAACAAAGCCAAATCCGCCTTCTCTGTTGCAGTGACCAAAAGCTACCCGAGAGAGAGGCTGCCCATCAAATTTGACAAGATCCTCATGAACGAAGGTGCAAACTACAACAGCTCCAGCGGGAAATTTGTCTGCAGCATCCCCGGCATCTACTACTTCACTTACGACATCACTTTGGCCAATAAACACTTGGCCATTGGGCTGGTGCACAACGGGCAGTACAGAATAAAAACGTTCGATGCCAATACCGGGAACCATGACATAGCTTCTGGATCGACTATCCTGTCCTTGAAGCAGGATGATGAGGTCTGGCTGCAGATATTCTACTCGGAACAGAATGGACTCTTTTATGACCCTTACTGGACAGACAGCCTTTTCACTGGCTTTCTGATCTATCCTGACCAGGAATATCTCAATGAAATATAAAGGGAAGACTGTTGACAACAGCAACACCAGCCAACTCTAACAGGGAGTCGGACATGGAAAATGAGAGCTGCAATAATGTACATTCATCTTTGAAATAGTCCCATCTTTGCAGAAGCAGTCTTAACCTGGACTGTGTCCCAGAGGCGTTGCTATCATAAGCCCAGGATAGTCAACATGGTGAGCACATGTTGATGAACTACAATTCCAAACATCTCTGAACATTGGCTAAGCTGACTGGGGCTGATGGGAGTTGGAGTCCAACAGAGTCTGGAAGGCACCATGTTGCCTACCTTAATCTAAGCCTTGATGTTTCTTTGTGTCAGTCTGTGGGCCCCCTTAAAGAATCAGCCTAGCTTATAAATTCTGAGCAGTCAGATTTTTCATCATTTGTGGCCAGTCGCCATTGCAATATAATTCCCCCCCAAACCCAGTAAGGCAATCCAAGTATATGTTGAAACATATCCATTTACAGAATGACAAAGTATAAAAACTTTAAAATTGTAATGCCCCCTCCCCAAATCATTTAGATCAGTGTTTCCCAAACTTTTTCAAAAACGAAAGACCCAATTTTGCTTATCTGTCCCAATAATCTGCATGTATCCTGAAACCTGTCAGGCACAGCCCCTCCTTTGGCTAATCCAATCAAGTCTCTTGTTCTCCATCTTAAATCAATGCAAACTCAGATGACAAGATCACTGGGTTTTTCTAAAGCACCTTTTGTTTTGCTCAGAATCTATCCTGATGATGTGTTCTGGAGAACTCCCAAAAGGTTGCCCACAACTGTGACAATTGGGTTGGTCCTAAGGAAAGTGTTGCTATCTGCAGCTTACTTATAGAAGCAATGAATGATCACGGTTCTCTGCCTAATGAGACACTAAGAAACCCCCAAAGGCAAACAAAAAAGGAATAATTTATAAAGAAAGATGGAGATGACCACATTATTTTAACAGTGGAAGAAAGATTATGATATTCAAAATCTGGAGCTCAACACTGAAGTGTCTTCAAGAGATCACAACACAGAATGATCAGAATATTATTTTCCCTGAATCTTTTTGTTTCCCATAATTTTGTCCTCACAGCTACTGCAAATCTCAACTGAAGTTAGTTAGGTATGGTGGAATGTTGGGTTAATGCCATGGAAACTCGGGTTCAAATCCCCCCTTAGCTCACTTGGTAACTTTGGGCCCATCACTATCCCTCAGCTAAACATACCTCACAGGGTTGTTGTGAGGATAAAATGGAGGAAGGGCTTTGAAATCCTTGGAGGGGAGGCAATGTTGTTAATGAATAATAAATAATTGGTAAAGGAAAGAAGATAAATAGAAACCAACATGTATCAGCCACTTTAGAGTTTAATATTGTATGCATACTGCCACCTAGTGACTACCATCTTCATTGCAAAAGGTGCTGCCTGAACAATACAATTTTGCAACCAAGCACTGGTGTTTTCACAAGTCAATAAAAGTGCCCTTTAACATCCTCACTGCACGTACAAGCAAACGATGCCATGCAGTTTTAAATGTACAGAAATCCAAGTATGTTTTTTCCCATCAGCTGAGGGTGGGTGGCTTTCCATTTGCATTTTCAACCCTTAGGAACGTTTTGTCAGTGCTTCCCGATATGGACCTTACATAACAAATGCATAATAAAAATCCAATTTTTTGGTGTGCACTTCCAGGAGGTGAACAAGAAATGTTTCCATGTGTTTTTTCCAGTTGTCAATATTCACTGCTCTTCCACACCATTGATCAGTTTATCAGAATGTAGCAAAGCTGCGTTTCCCTCTCACCTCAGTCAATTTCCCCCAACCTTTTCTGTACTGGGCATGTTCATTTCTGTACTCGCACCTGCAAGTGCGCAAGAGTAAACATTTACCAGCCTTAGATACCATGTTTCACAATGGGCAAAATGGAGACTTGTTTTCTTGATGGGAAGCAGTATCTATTTCCATTTGTTTTTTGGGTTGTGTTTTAATACTGAGCTCTTCTACAAGACTTGTTACAGAATTGTGCAAGAAGAGGTTCTTGTGCTAGACTTCCACATTAGAACACTTTCTTAAAAAGTCCATTGTATGCACTGGTCCTACAACAGACTGCAAAAAGTGAAGCCCAATATTGTTTTTGTACTACTTGAGACTACTTGAAGTACCGGTACATCATTGGTGGTCTGTTCCACTGAATTGGGGAGGGACAGGGACATCCTCTTCCACACAGCTAGAGGGGCCGAGATTATCTTCACAATGGAAGAAATATCAGATGCAATCAAGTGAGAATCAGCTTGAGCAGTGGTGACATTATAGATAATTATGGGTGATAATGTGGCCTGGACTGCTTTAACAAATGCTTCTTCTAATCAGAACAGTGAATCTTCTTCAATGCACTGCTTCCAGTTTAGATTATGCACCACTGAATTCACTAGGATTCATTTCTGAGTACATGCAGTTAGGATTGCAGCTTTACATCCCAGAATAAGGAATTCTGTGCTCATGATGCATATTCATATGCCCTAACCTCAGCAAGCGAGGAGCGCATGTTAAATTTTATTCTCTTCCTCCTATATCCTTCAAGTTAAGGGCAGCCTTAACACTCTGGAAGAAGCTGAGTAGTCATAGCACATCCATACTTGGAGTGAAGACTCTGCTGCTGATGGCATACCTTTAAGCAATGGTAAAGACTTCCACTGGGTATTCCGAGATTCTGATGTTTTGACAGTTGGGCAGTTGTTAAAGAGAGTTCTCAGAGATCCACTCAGAAGGAAGTTCATCCTTTTTTTACAGATCTCATATACCTGGTAATTATTTTAAGAATTTTATCTTCTCCAATAAATTCATGTGAGATGGCTCTCTTACAATATAGTTACAACCAATGACTACGCTAAGAAAGATCACCTCTGTAAACTAGCTACTGTACTTCCAGGGACACCACTGGAGCTTGTTATGCCAGGAGTCAACCTTGCAGGTGAATTTGCCTCTGGGAGGGGGGTACCTTAGTGAGGCTCTAGAAATGGGGAAGGCAATCTGCAGCCATTGGATTAATTTCACAAAGGTGGAAGAAACCCAGTAAGAAAGAAACTGTTTTAGGTCCGTCCCCCCCCCCAAAATGCTGCTCTTCTGTCCATTTAAATCAGGAATGGGGAAACCTGTGGCCTTTCAGAGGTCACTATGCTCCAACTCCCATGAGTCCCAGGCAGCATAGCCAATGGTTAAGAATGATGGGTGTTGTAGTCTGGCAACATCGGGAGGGACACAGGTCCCCCACCCCTGACTTAAACTGTTTTAGGGTATTGCGATTTATAAAATTAATATTATTATATAGTAGTAAGGTTGAACACAAGGGATGCAGGTGGCACTGTGGGTTAAACCACAGAGCCTAGGACTTGCCGATCAGGTCGGCGGTTCGAATCCCCGTGACGGTGTGAGCTCCTGTTGCTCGGTCCCTGCTCCTGCCAACCTAGCAGTTTGAAAGCACGTCAAAGTGCAAGTAGATAAATAGGTACCGCTCCGGCGGGAAGATAAATGGCATTTCTGTGCGCTGCTCTGGTTTCACCAGAAGCAGCTTAGTCATGCTGGCCACATGACCCAGAAGCTGTCTGCAGACAAACGCTGGCTCCCTTGGCCTATAGAGCGAGATGAGCACGCAACCCCAGAGTTGTCCATGACTGGACCTAACGGTCAGGGGTCCCTTTACCTTTAAGGTTGAACACACCTAGCAAAATGCTGATTATTTCTTAAATTAAGCATCTGCTGGTAGGCGGTAAGAAAAAATAAGAATAGAAAGCTTTAATAAGAATAAAAAGTGAGTTTTTAAATGTTTTAATTTTGTAAACTGTTGCCTTTCCCATGTTGTGAGCTCCAAAATCAGATTTCCTGCAGTCAGAATACTTACTGCCAGTTCCTGCCCACATGTCTCACAGTGACATAACATAGCCATTATGTGCCTTCCGCAGGTCAAAGAAATCAAAGTACTTTTAAACCCCCACTTCCATGCCACCAGATATGGGAGCTGAGGTTTGCAAGGCTCTGGAAAGTGTCTATAGCTGAATACGATAATAAACCAAGGGTGAGTGGCCATGGAGGTTTGTATCTCATTATCTTGCTGGGTTTGTAAACACGTTACAAGGATGATTCACTTTTAAGCCTTTCCACCATTCATCTCAACTCTACCCAAAGATGGTGCCTTACACTCTGGAAACTAATGACATGTGATTTCAGAAATAATTTGTTTTCATCTGTGTATATATGGCATTGGAATTGTGGAAAGGCAGACATAAACTTCTAGCTGTGCATTTTATAAGCGACAAAGAAGCAATGCATTACTCCAGTTTCAGTATAAATGTAAAGTTTGATGTTGCTGTGAACACTAGAAGCATCACCAGATTCTGCGTTCCCCTCAGCTGGCACTTTTGTTTACTTGGCAACAAGGTCTTGGATAAGTAAACGCTACTCTCCAGATTCTGATTCTAGAATTCTAGGATTACCATCGTGGCCTGTTCTCTAATTTGTTGTATTTTCTTCTCAAGCATGACACGTAGGTAGGCTCTTAAGAAACATGAGAAATTCCCTAAGTGTTGATTGGTGTGCAGTTTTATTCCAAATTGAAGTAAAAAATTGCTCTAGGTTTTACATGTCTAATCTGCCATAAGCAAGGAAGTAAACTAGAAGGCTGGTCTCAAAGTTTGTAATCCCCTGAGATATTGCTTCTCATCCTTCTTAACTCCTAATCCCACCCACTTCTGTGGGCCAGGACAGCTATCAGTGCCCAAATCCTTCTAGTATTCCCCACCAAGAGAGATATCACACATTCGGTTTCATTCCTCTCAATCTTTCCCCATCCTTGCTTCAGCTATGCAATATCCCACCTGTTCAGTGTCCTCAGTTCCTCGGCAGCTGGAAAGCAGGTGGGAGTTTGCCACATGAAGGCTGTCCCTTCAGGCGGAGAAGTACGGCATTATGATTCTGCCCTGCAGACTCTTATCCATCACCAGGATCAGCAAACATTCTTTCCCCCCTTGTACACCTAAGTCCAGGTTGCTTCCGCCCAGCAGGTACTATCTTCACAAGTAACTTAATACTGGTCCTATTTACTGTATCAGGAACTGTCTGCTTTGCCCTTGCTACAGCTGGCCTAGAAACAAGAATTTAGCAGAATTTGTATAATGGCATCCTCATTCTGGGGGAAAGCTTTCCTTTCTGCAACCTTTGCTGCTCACATTGAAAGCAAAACGAGGCCTGCCACTAAGAAAAGAAACGTTGGCAAAAGTTTATCAGGGCCAGTGTGTGTGTGCACGCACATTCATCATGACAGTTTTTTAAATAAAAAATGCAATTATTTCTCAAGTAGCCATATTTCTGCCATTAAATATAAACAAATCAGAAAAGGTGTTGCTTTGGGCAAACGATTCCCCCCCCCCATTTATTCCATATGTAAAGAAGCAAAAATAGTGATTTGCTGCACAAAATGCATGTGAGGGCAAATCAGTTTGCAAAACTTCAGAGTGCTTGATAAACTAGGATAGGGTACTCTATTTGGAGCTAAATTCCCAAGACTGTATTTTAGAATAAACTGCAAAAGTTCAAGGGGTCCGTCGCTTTTCTTCCACATCTCTGTTTTGTCTCTTAAAAACTCTTAAGTCTTTTTCTCTCAGCGAGGAACTCTTCCCTATTAATGTCATAGTCATGATCATTATTTAGTTGACATTCATATTTATCATTCAAACGATTCGATGGAGTAAGGAAGGCATATTTTTCAGCAAGTTCATGAAGCTGTTGAGATCTCTTGGTGATTTCTTGGATCACTCTGTTCAGTGAAAGAAACATTTCTCTCTTCAACTCAGCTTCACGACAATTCAGCATCATCTCATGATTCTTCACCTGCCAACAGTTTCTTCTTTCTACACTGACAATCCATGACTATACCCAGATCATCACAAATTTCTTTTGTGTAAGCTACTGAATTGTTAACTAATTTGTCTCTATTTTCAGTTTAAAATGCTTTTAAAGCCTTGAGCTTCATGCCACATTGTTGTACTGTATATTCGGTCCTTTGGTTTGGAGGTAGACCTGTGTGTTGTTAGGTTCTAGAAGGATGGATTCCGAAAGCACAGGAAGGAAAACGATTGAAAAGTATCAGGCAGCACGCCATCATCTGACCTGGTACTTTCTTCTTCACCAGTTGAATGCACTTCTACAGCATTTAATATTTGTGAGTGGTTCTTTTTTACAACTCACAGCATCTCCCTGTGCATTCCACTGCGTTTCAACTACACGCATGACACTTTTGACCGGTGACTGAAGTCTTGGTGTGGCTTTGCCTTTTCCTATTTTTGTCTTAGAAGGAGAGGCCATCTCTCTATGGAAGAGTACCTGCTTTAAATGCAGAAGGACCAAATTTAAATCTGGCATTTTCTCCGGATATGGCTTGGAAGCCTCCCACCTAAAACCTGGCAGGGCAGCTTTTAAAACGATAACTGATTACATTGGGCTCAGTGCTTTCACATCCAAGTCCAGCTTTCCCACCATCTGATAACAGATAAATTGCTATTGTTATTACCTGCCCTTCGCCCTAAGGTCCTAGGATGGGTTTCGTGAATTAAAACACTATGTAAAAACAGTTTAAAAGGACCTGTTGCATGGATCGACAGTGCAAACTTAAACCATGTCTACTCAGAAATAAGTTCTGTTGTATTAAAATGAGGCTTGTTCCCAGGTAAGAAGGGCTAGAATTTGCTTTCCTAATACGGCAAGAAAATGTGTTGGGGCCGGCATTACATTCTCCTTTAAATGCAACTTTTGTTGTTGTTTAGTCGTTTAGTCGTGCCTGACTCTTCGTGACCCCATGGACCAGAGCACGCCAGGCACTCCTGTCTTCCACTGCCTCCCGCAGTTTGGTCAGACTCATGTTGGTTGCTTCTATAACACTGTCCAAACATCTCGTCCTCTGTCGTCCCCTTCTCCTTGTGCCCTCAATCTTTCCCAACATCAGGGTCTTTTCCAGGGAGTCTTCTCTTCTCATGAGGTGGCCAAAGTATTGGAGCCTCAGCTTCAGGATCTGTCCTTCCAGTGAGCACTCAGGGCTGATTTCCTTCAGAATGGATAGGTTTGATCTTCTTGCAGTTCATGGGACTCTCAAGAGTCTCCTCCAGCACCATAATTCAAAAGCGTCAATTCTTCGGCAATCAGCCTTCTTTATGGTCCAGCTCTCACTTCCATACATCACTACTGGGAAAACCATGGCTTTAACTATACGGACCTTTGTTGGTAAGGTGATGTCTTATTATGCAACTTATTATTATTATTATTGGGGAATGGAGGAATCCCGCAAGCCCAGGTGAGCTTTGAACTGGGTCAGTTTTGGAGGATTGTGGCACGATCCCACTTACAGCGGTGGGAGACGAGCACCTATTACAGCAAGAGCCTCTTTCCTCGGACAGCAGCCGAGTCGGTCCATCACCCACCTACAACACCCGTTAGTGCCTCCGATGTGATCGGACCCCTTGCCTGGATTAGTTCGTTTTGAATGAAGCTGCAGTTTGGGCGCTTCTTGAAATTGCCCCGCAGAAGCGGAGCAGCAGCAGCAGCAACAGCAGCGCCGAGAGGGTCGGGACAGGGGAGAGGGGCTCGGGCGGCGGTAGCCTTGGCGCTGGTTTCAGAGGAAGTCCACGGGCGGACAGACGAATGAATGATTGAGCGAGCAGGACTCCCCCGCGCGAAAAGGAGCGCGGGAAGGCTGCTGCACGCAAAGAAGCGAAAGGGCTCCTAGGTGTGCGCGCGCGTGCGCAATGCGGCGCCGGCGTGTAATCTCCCCCTCCTCCTCCTCTTGCTCTTGGGATCTTCCATCCAGAGCAGGATCTGCGGGGGAGGGAGGGAGGGAGGAGGAGAGAAGCGGCTAAAGGGCGGGGAGAGCACCTTCTCGCCCTCCACCAGCTACACGGCGGGGAGCGAGAGGGGGGGCGGATATGCATCTCACCTCCGCCCTTCCCGCCAGACTCTAAGTTCAACATTGGGGAACTGGCGGCGGAGGGAGGGGAGGGGGGCGCGCAGAGAGATAAGTTTAAATGCTCCCCCTTCTGCCTGGGCTGCAGTATTTTTCCAGCAAGAAATAGCTGGATGCCGGGTAGGACAAAGGCTGGGGATCCCGGTTTGGAGGGCGAAGAGAGGCAAAAAGGTAAGCGCTGCGTGGGCGGGCGCCGTCTTCGCACTTTGTGGGGAGTTGCGGACTGCGGGGGGAGGGGGGAGTGTCGTGCAACTTGCAGTTATGGCTCTTTTCAATTAAAGGTAGCCTGCCTTTAAACAAAGAAGTTGTGCAGTTATGAGTGCTCGAGCAGACCGGGAGTGGGGGTGGCCGAGAGGGAAGAGAGAGAGAGGTTTGTTCCCAAATCTTTGGAGGTGGTCAAGCCTTGGTGAGAGCTCTGCAAAGAAGTGATCGCGGCGAGGAAGTAGTAGATCTCTCAGGTGCCCTCCCTTCGGATGGGCTGGTGCACATGGAAGCGTCCTTGGCGGCTTTTCTGCAAAAGGAAAGGGCGCGGGGAGGGGGAGGGACCCGTCTTGCAGGTAAGGCAGACCTGTGGCCGCCGAGATTCCTTGGGCGACTGTGCATGGAAATCTGCAATTTAATAAAGCGGGGAGAAAACCCGGGTGTTTGATAGAAGTTCGCTGGACTGAATTGGACCCCGGTAGAAAACGTGGGTGTAATTGCCCTTTCCCCTTACCCTCTCTCTTTTGGCGGGGGGAGGATGTTACAACTAAAAGGTCTCAGCCAAAAGAACTTAATAACAGCCAGATCCCATGCAGGGACATGTGCCCTGAAGCCTCTTGATTTCCGTAGGATGGGGCTGTTAGGCTACAACCCATAAACAACTTGACTAGGTAGAAAATGTTGGTTAGTCTGGTTCACTGTTTATTTCTCCCTACCTAGGTATTGCCTTTCCCCCCAGACCAGATTTTGGATGGGAAGTCTAAAGATGGAAGAGCCATGGTGGAAAGGAGACCTTGCAGCAGAGATTCATCAGACTTTGAGGTTGAAGGTCAGTTAGCCTCCCTGTCTCTGCACTCTTACCTGCTCTGCCTTTGCTGTGTCCAAAACTTTTTTCCGTGGTGGTTGATTCTTACAGTGAAAGACTGCAGTCCTCAATGCACTTTAAATGGGAGCAAGTTAGAAGTACATTGCACCTTACACCTTAGGTTGCGCTGTATGGAAGAAAGATACTGAATAGGTCGTCTTCGTCGTCGTCCCCCCATCTACCTCTAGAAGAAAGCAATATGTAATTACTCTGGACTCCATTGTTAGTGTTGATTCCTATCCTGCTCCCATGTAGTGTGCTGTTGGAAAACAAAACAAAAAAAATCTTAAATTGATACATTCAGCCAAATTATTTTTCAAGGTGGATGAGAGCCTGAATTGCATGCTAAAAAGATTGGCTCACTGTCTTCAACTCTCTTGCAAAAGCTGATAAGTAGTCACTGTAGATTAAAGAGGGAGTGAATATATACCATATTTTTGCTCTATAAGACTCACTTTTTCTCTCCTAAAAATTACGGGGAAATGTGTGTGCGTCTTATGGAGTGAATCTGCGCAGCGATCCCTCTTGCTGTTCTGGCTTCTGAGATTCAGAATTTTTTTTTCTTGTTTTCCTCCTCCAAAAACTAGGTGCGTCTTGTGGTCTGGTGCGTCCTATAGAGCGAAAAATACGGTAGTTTAAAGCAGGAGACTGAGGCCCAGTCCTAAATACAGTTATTTGGAGTCAACTGGATTTGTTTGCAAGAAAATGTGTGGTTAGGATCAGCAGCTTTTATGGAAAAGAGTGTGGTGACGCAGACAGGGAAGAGGGCCATATGAAAGCAACTTTTCACTGGGGACTTGATTAGGACACATTCATTCTAAGAAGGATATGTGTGAAAGGGATATTGCCTTGCAAATGGGTCAGCGAGTTGAGATAAAGCTGACAGTATAGGTTTGTCCTGAATGAGCCCCCTCCCTGAGCGTATTCAGTGATGCACCTTTCTGAGCTCCTAGAGCATGAAATATATACATTTACAAGGAAATGTCTCTCAACTGTGTTAAATTCCTTATTAGTTCTAGTGAAAATCCTTGCTTTAATATTGCGGGTGCTGTGCACGTGTGCTGGTCTGAAGTGGTTACTGCGGTGCTGTTCCTTGCAAGCCTGCTTGCTCAGGTTCCTGTCCTCCACTCTGCAGTCATACCTCGGGTTGAATGTGCTTCGGGTTGAGCGCGTTCAAGTTGCGCTCCACGGCAACCCGGAGCTTGTTACTTCCGGGTTTTGCCGCTTGCACGTGCGCAGACGCTCAAAATGACGTCATGCGCAGAAGCGGCGAAAAGCAACGCGCGTGTGCGCAGACGTGCCATCGCTAGTTACATTTGCTTCTAGATGCGACCGGGGCTCCGGAACGGATCCCATTCGCATCTAGAGGTACCACTGTACCTAGCTTTTTGTCCTGTCCCTCCTCCGTGAGAGATGTTTCCTCTGTCTGGGGGTTTGTTCCCATGTCTTGGCAAAGGCAGTGTTTTTGGAGGGAGGGCCTTGAACAGGTGTCAAGCATGACTTGGGGGAAATGTGTCTTAGGTTCATATTCCTGCTATTTGCAAGTATGGAGGGGGTGTCTGCATGTCTCAAATTAACCAAAAGCCTTGTGGCACTTGAAAGACTTAAAAAAAATTATTATGGTGTTAGCTTTTGTCAACTACAGCTTGCTTCACTAGATGTATGACGCATTATCCTGAGTTGACAGGTGTATATGCACATGGAAAGAAAGAAAGAAAGAAAAAGAGAAAGGAAGGGGTTAGCCATGAAGTTAGAGGGAAATGGAGATGTCGGAAATACAGGTGGTGATAATTATGTTAAAGTGTGGATGTATGTAAAATCTTTAGTGATCTTTCACAAAGCATTGTTGAGGATAACATACACATTCTGACGTGGGTATGCCTTGAAGCATGAGGGTAATCTAAGAAATTGTCATAAACACAATGGAAGATCTTTTCACAAAAGGAAAACTAGTAATTCTCAGAACCCTCCACCAGCCCACACAAAACAGGCAATAGCAATAGGCTGCAGGGCATATATTTCTCACCCCTCCTACACCTTCCTTTGGCTTGTATTTTTCCATTGTTCATTGTGTTCTTTGGTTACAATTGGAATATGTCAAAGTGAATATACTTGTTCAAGGTGAAATTTACACAGGAAAAGTAACTTGAATTGTTGTGTGTTTTCTTTGGAAAGAAAATTATGTATAGCTTTGTCTTTGTGTGTAACTTATATATATAGCTGAATGAAATGCCACAATAGACGGTTGCCCTGGGTCCTTTTAAATCCTGGGAAATAATGAGCAAATGTCAGGATTTCATGATAATTTGATTTTGTTATCATTTGGCACACCTGTCCCTTCTCAACATTAGATATTTAGGATGGTTTGCCAAGAGCAGGGGTCAGCAACCTTTTTCAGCCATGGGCCGGTCCACCGTCCCTCAGACCATGTGGTGGGCCAGACTATATTTTTTGGGGGGGAAATGAACAAATTCCTATGCCTCACAAATAACCCAGAGATGCATTTTAAATAAAAGCACACATTCTACTCATGTAAAAACACACTGATTCCTGGGCTGTCCGTGGGCCGGATTGAGAAGGCGATTGGGCTGCATCTGGCCCACAGGCCTTGGGTTGCCTACCCCTGGCCAAGAGCAACAAAAGCCCCTGAGTGTCTCAGCTAGCCAGAGAAAAATTCTTATCCAAGGGTTGGTTCACTTGTGTTTCCCACATGGCATACACACACGGCAGAGAGCTGCCAGCCAATCGAAAGAGAGTATCCCACACTAGTAGTTCGTACTGTATGTGTATTTTAAGACACACACATTCTAATTTTTAACCTGTACACAACAAAAAATACCACCTGTGAATTGGCCCCAAGGCTTGAAGGAGAGAGTTATGTAATACTTGGTTGTCTTTAAGCTGCTACTTTTTATATATACCATACTTTTCCATGTATTGGACGAGGTTTATGTAAAAAAACAACAACTGGGGTCGTCTTATACATGGATAGTGGGTAGGGGTGACAGGTGATTGGTTGCAGCCACGAGCTGCAGATTGTCTTTGGTGTGTGATTGGTTGTTCTTTCAAGGGCTGCTTTGGATTGGCTGCCGCTGCGTCAGTTGTGCTTGCGATTTCCTTCCGCTGTTGGCGATTGGGCAGCCACTTGTTGCAGATTTGAGTGATTGTCAGTGAGTGACATGAGTGATTGTAACCATCGGGTTATTTACTGCACTCCCCCCCCAAAAAAAAAACACAACAACTTTGTGCCATTTTCTAAATTTGCCATTTTCTTATACACGGGGGCGTGTTATACATGGGAAAATACGGTATATGAAGGATATATCATCTTAGTTTTGTATATGTAACCCTTTCTGACATCAAACAAGAGGATGGAGGCATATGTTGGGGGGGGGAATCCGTTTGTTTTTCAAAAAACAGTAACAACCACACACTTATTTACAATAATGAATGAGATACAGTAAAACAACGGAGTCCAGCAGCTCTCCTGGATTCTGAAAAAAGAATCCCATCTCTGCTATTCTTCAACTCTAGCCTTGTTCAAGCATTAAGTTTCCCTCACATAAGGAGGGCAGTGGTTTCCCCCCTCCATGGACCACTTGAAAATTGCTGAGGGCCTCGCTTAATGATATTTCTGTCTGTTGTAGCAATTGTAATGAGCTTTGCTAGGTGCTGGAGGATTTTTAATGGTCTTTTACTTGCCACTTGTGTTATATATCAATTGTATTCCATGGGTTCAAATTGCAATACAAAAATATACAGTGCAAGTATAAAAGAAGCAAGAAAAAATACAAATAAAAAAAATCCTTATCAGCATTTAATGTGATGGCTGTGCCATTTCCTATCTTCAACCCAAATCCGTAAATATGGTATGGATCACCTGAATGAAACTCATTGGAAACAGTTTGTGAACCCCTGGACTCGTGACGTCATGGCGCTGTGTCCATCCGCACTGCACTCTGTGTGTGGAATGGCAAACTGTCTGGTTCCTAAATTGCACGAGGAACCTCTGCAAATACAGTTTTAGGCATGTGAACGGCAGCAGCGACAGACATGGGGTTGGGGGCAGGCAACTCTTCCTCCTGTCATCGCATGAGGGAGAGGGACTCCACGCCTGTTTCAGGGTCTATCAAGGCATGGCAACAGTCTGGGCTGAGTTTCACAAAACTTTGAAGCAAGTAGGGATTGGTAAGGTTTACATTGGAACTTAATCCTTCAAAAGCCACCGTGTAGTTATTCCAGGTAAGTGGACTGGTGACTGGAGACATCAGAAGGCAAACAAAACAATGTTTTCAAGTGGCAGCAATCTGGGGGATCAAAACTTGTTCATATACACGTGCAATGTGTAGGGCATTCGGTTCATTTGTATGTGCTTTTAAGCCTGCTTTTGTGCCTTATGCTTTATTGTACAGTAAACACAATCTTTTTCCGGTAACCCACAAGCAGTGTCGGCTTTAAATAATGCAATATATTTACGTAGGATGCCTTCTTTTACCCAAATTGCTATGCCCCACTATGGCCCAAGCTTTTTCTGAAAAAAGTTGTACCCCACCCTACTCCACATCGTACAATTTGGAACAAATTGTAGGCCATACGCCATTTGACATATGGCTCCTTCCTTGCATTTGCAAAATTAAGTTCACATCCTCAAATAGAAAGGATGGGTTGCTGGCTCCCCAAATGTACTGTGCTTCTGAATGCAACTTTAGAGAGGGATCGAGTCGTTAGAAATTTTGGAAGTGGAAAAGACAACATTGTTGCTGTTGTTTAATATTCCAAGCAAATGTTCCAAGACACACTTCTGACTAGAAATATTGCTCTGAAATTGATTCTTAGGCATATTTCACTGTATTTGGCAAAGGATGACGTCCTTCCGTGTCAGCTTGTCGTGCAACAAACTTACTCTTGCGCTCCTGGGCTTTTCCTCCTCCCCTTCATTCAACACCAGATCTCTTCTTGAAGATTTGGCAGCCCTTCAGAGCAGATGTGGGCAGCAGAGGGAGGGAAATCTGTGTTGTGTTCCCTGGCGCAGTCGGTGTTGGATAGTGCCTACAGTATTTATTGAGTGCCCAGCACATGATGTGATGGTGTCCATATTGCTGAGATGAGAAACCTGTGGCCCTCTTGATGTTGAACTACAGCTCCCATCATCCCTGACTGCTAGTCATACTGGCTGGGGAGTGATGGACTCCGTTGTTTTACTGAGGAGTGATGGAAGAACGATGCCCAGTCCTGTACCAAATGGCGTGTCAATACAGGTGGCGGCCATTTTGCGTGCGTTCAGTTGATGTGTGATCTCGGATGCACAGGTCATTTTGGAAAGAGAATGTAGGCACATGGTTTCTATGTTGTGGTCCATTGTCGGCCTACAGACCTAAGCTGCTTACCAAGCCATCAGGTGCAACATGCCTCTCGTTGAATCTACTGTAATTATACTCTTATTTGGTAAATATTTATTGTAAATGAAGAGTTGTGTCCATGGGGTGGGGTGTAAAGGTGGTGTTTTGAGTTGTTCAGTGAGCAGTGTAGAATTCCTTGCTAGCTGGAGGACGGGGTGTTTTGGTTTTAGGCAACTTTTCTGGAAAGCTGGATCTTTCAAATACAGCCAGCTCAAAACTCCATCCCTGACTGGGATGTTTTTAAAACCTTCATCTGGAATCTGCTGAGGTCAAATGAGATGTTGCCTCTTGGAACAAGACTGGAGGCTTCCATCTAATAATTGTTATGTTAGCTTGTGAATGGGCCTTGTGTCTAAACAGACAGATAAGCATGTTTGCCTGAGGAAATGGGTCCTCTTCACCTTCACATAAATATTTACAGTGCTGTCCTTTTATGTAAGAGGTCTTATCTTGCAGTTGGTTAAGAAGTAATTCATGAACTGGCTTATCCTTTGAAAAACTAATTTCATCCCATTTTCATACTTTTAATACAGTGGACCTGTAAGTGGGCTTCAGCTTTAAATTTCTTGTCTGGGCTGCAAATTCATTTTATGCAGTTTGATTAAATAGTGCCCAAAAATGACTATGTAAGTCATTGAAAAGTTATTGACTTGTTCTGAACCTGTAAATGGGTGGTTTCTAAATTCTTTACTTGGGAGAGCCAACAATGGAAGATAAACTTTTCTTTCGAATTTGCCTTTGGATTCCAACCTTCTGCTGAATTTGCCTCTAGGCCAAACAAGACCTGAAGCCAACTGCTTGAGTGCCTAAATTAACATGTCTTAGGTTTTCTAGTGTAAGTAGCAGCTGTTGGGGCCCTGAGCAGGATTGAGATGTTTAATCCAAAACACACGGGGGGGGGGCAGACGCTTTTCCCAGGTCTAATAGGTGTGACACAGTTGTTAATGAAAAATTAATTGTACACCTGTAGGATTGGTTTTAACTATGCTTTGAATATTGTATTTTTTGTATTTTATCTTTGTTTGTATTGTACACTGCTTTGGTGACCTCAGGCTGTCAAGCAGTTTATACATTTGTACAATAAATAAAATAGTAGCTCCCCTTAAAAACTAACAATTATTGTGGCAGTCCATGAAAGGTTATACCATCATAAATGTGTTGGTCTTTAATGGGTGCAGCAGTCTGTTTGTTTCTTTATAAATAATGTTGGTTCCTGGTCTTGAGCCCTGTGGGAGGGGATTGCTAGCTGATGGTGGGTTGTTGTTGTTGTTTAGTGTGGGTCTCCCCCTGCCCATTGCCTGATTCTCAGGAGTATGAATAGTTGTCGCAAGTTTTCATTGTCTTTCAAAAACAGGTTGGATGTTCATCCAGAACAAGAGCTGGGTTGCTTTTTATTGCGTTAGTTGCTAAGCACTTGCCAGAACAGGTGGTGGATGGTGATCTGTGGATTTTGGCTTCTGAAATGGATATTCATGTTAATACCCCTTCTCTCTCTCTGTCTCTCTTTCTTTCCTCCCCCTCCTTTGTGTTGCCATAGGAGCTGAAGCTGCCCGTGTACAAGGCCCATTCTCCGCAAATCGGGATGCGGCGCTATTTTGCTGACCTCTTGGCCATCCTCAGCAGCCGCTGCCAGCTCTGCCCCACAGCCCGACACCTTGCTGTGTACTTGCTGGATCTCTTTATGGACCGCTATGATGTTGCTGTCAAACAGCTATATGTCATCTCGATAGCCTGCCTCCTCCTTGCAAGTGAGTAAGCTTGCCTGTTAATGCATACATGCTGTTGCGGTTATTACTTGTCCGTAGGGGAACAAGTAAGCTGTTTATTGGTTAAATGCCCTGAGCTGATGAAAACATTTTTATTTCAATTTATTAAACAAAATATTTTTAGGTTGTTTATTTTGAGCAGGTATCATCTAAAGCATTTTTGAAACCATGGAACAGGAAAAGACTATTGGTCCTGCCCAGAGAGTATGATATTTATTGCTGTTCCACCAGGCCTTTGGTCAGGGCGCAGCCTGACCCCCTCCTCTGGCAATCTGCACAGAATTTTGCTTAATGGTTGCCATCAATTTGATTTTAATTAATTTTATAATGAATGTTTTTAGAATGTTGGATTATTTTGATTGTTGTTAGCCGCCCTGAGCCCAGCTTCGGCTGGGGAGGGCGGGATATAAATAAAAATTTATTATTATTATTATTAAATAGTTGACTATTGCTCTTTGCAGTTTCTGTTGCTTTTAGAACAGAGTATCAACAACTTTGCCTAGAATTTCCTGCAGCGATGTACTTTTTTTTTGCTCGTATGGGGAGGAGCCTTAAGTTTCAAGCTGTGCTTAAGAGAAAAGGGATTCTCAGCTGTTACAGAGAGTAACAGGTTCATTTTTATGCCTTTTAAATGAGGCCGTGGGTGATGCTTTTCCTTCAGATCACCCCTTGCATTACTGTATTATTCAGAGCCTGTGGGGCCCATCACACTGACATTTAAATATTACTCGATAATTGTGGACTGAGCCCATGGAAAGGGGTTCCTGTTACATTTAGAGGGCACCTTTGACCCCTGCCATATTATATTCATGGAGAGCAGATACTGTGCCAGTTCATTCTCAAACTGCAGCCCTTTCTATGTACTTACCTAGTGATCCATCCTGAGCTATATCCTCCTAGAATCCCTTTCGTTTTGGGCCACTTTAGAAAAACATAGTTGTCAGCCTTGCACAGAGACACGTGTCCTAATAACCCAAAGCTTTGTACAAGGGAGAAAGTGCAGGTGGGTAACTTCGGAACCAACCCTTAGAGTAGCCTTCCACCATGTGGTGCCCTGTGCATGGTCCTCTCTGACCACTGGCCATGCTAGTTGAGGCTGATGGTGAGTTGGTGTCCAATTTCGACAGAGGGTCCAAGAGCAAGTTAGAGAAGGCTTGTTTAGAGCCTCTCAAGTCTCTTTTTAAAGACTACAGCCGGCAAAAAGAATAATTGCAGGTGGATTAACCAGGCCAAGATAGACAGGATCTACTTTTTGCCAACCTCATGCTTGTATAGCTTGTCCTGTTAGCATGTTGTATATATTCCTGTCCAAAGCTGCTATACTGACATAATATTTTGTCTGTTTAAGGATAATAATAATTGTTCCCCGGCCACAGCCGGGCTCAGGGCGGCTAACATCATAAAACTAACATAGTATACAAAGAACATAAGAACATAAAACAGGCAATCAATTAATTAAAATACATCTTAAAATTAGTTCAGAACAAATTAAAATCTGGACAGATGGCAGTCGACAGGTAAAATTGAGAGTGGTTGATATTCTCCAGGGCCAAATGTTACCACTAGTCTTATAAAGGACCTGTGAGCAGGCTAGGAGGCCTCTTTAATGCTTATTCTTATACAGAAAGAAAAGAATCACACTGAACCACGACAAAAGGCCTGGTGGAACAGCTCCGTCTTGCAGGCCCTGCGGAAAGATGTCAAATCCCGCATGGTCCGGGTCTCTTGTGAGAGAGTGTTACACCAGGCCGGGGCCACAGCTAAAAAGGCCCTGGCTCTGGTCGAGGCCAGTCTAATCTCCCTGGGGCCTGGGATCTTCAGAGTGTTATTATTTGCAGACCTTAAGGTCCTCCGTGGGGCATACCAGGAGAGGGGGTCCCATAGGTACGAGGGTCCTAGGCCGTATAGCGATGAGCATTGTGTTACAGTAGTTGTTTTTTTGTTTGGTTTTCTTAAAAGGCCAGTCCTTGATGAGGGTGGCCGCAGTGTTTTCAGAAGCATCTAGATTCCAAGGGAGCAATCTAGAAAGGAGATAAGGAAGTGGTTGTAAAACTACAAAAGCAGCAGAAGCTGTTCAGTGTCTTATGGCTGCTACCCTTCCTCAGTCCATTGTCTGGCCTTTGTATTCCACTCTGGCAAAAAGGCGGGGCAGGAGAGAAAACTTTTCTACTGCATATTATCTTAAATCCTGCTAGGCTGGAAAAATATTGATGGCAAATAAAAGAAACTTGTCAAACTGGAGGAAAAAGGATTCTTGGAATTTGTTAAAGTAGAGACTGGACTGGGTTCTTCCAAGGCCTATAAATTTAAATATTGAGCAGTGCCTGTTGGAAGGGTTGGCATAGTTGTTTAAATCGCACTTTCCTATTAGTAATAGTTGACATAAAATAAAAGTGTATAATCAGATAACCGGATTGAACATAATGTGTATTTTCCTCCTTTTTCTTTGACGTGTGGGCCAGCATTTTTCCATATGTTCTGGTCTTGGTTATGTACTGTATTGCATCTTTATGTAAAATAATACATTGCTTTCACACATTGTGAGATGCTCTAGTTTTCTTCCATGTTGTCTCATCAGTGAAAGTGGACTGCATGCTTTTCCAAAGCTCCCATAATTTTATACTCTGTACTATTTGTGTTTGACTAGAGCAGACATAGGCAAACTCGGCCCTCCAGATGTTTTGGGACTACAACTCCCATCATCCCTAGCTAACAGGACCAGTGGTCAGGGATTATGGGAGTTGTAGTCCCAAAACATCTGGAGGGCCGAGTTTGCCTATGCCTGGACTAGAGTTTATCTCATGCAGTGGCAACGTCTGGCTGATGAATCTCTGAATTCTGGGTTTTTCAGCATTGGCTTCTAGCTGAGTTCAGGAGAATCTAGACGGAGAGAATACTTTGAACTCAAGTGGCTTGTTCTTTCTTTTCAATAGGCAAGTTTGAAGAGAAGGAGGACAAGGTGCCCAAACTGGACCAGCTGAACAGCTTTGCTTACATGTGTAGCCTTAACCTGGCGCTAACCAAGAAAGACCTGCTGAAGATGGAACTTCTGCTCCTGGAAACTTTTAACTGGAATCTCTGTCTGCCAACCCCGGCGCATTACATCGATTACTACCTCTTTGCCTCTGTTAGTGAGAGCGATCTGCACAATGGCTGGCCTATCACATCCGTGACCAAAGTCAGAGCTTTCATGGAGAAATATTCTCACTATTTCCTAGAAGTCTCGCTGCAAGGTAATTTCTTGGTCCAGAGGCCCAAGGCACATGTCTGCCTTGCAGTAGCCTTTATCAGGATTATAGCAGTCCTTGCATGTGGGGAAACACTGCGTTTAATGCAAATGCCACCAAAATATTTGTCTCACCTTAGAAAAGGCATGAAAACAAAGCTCAGGCTTTGGCAAAGGGAATTCTTGCTCTTTGAGGCCTTGTTTTGGGGTTAGGCATACTCTGGACCAAGCTAACCCACAACTTGTTTTAATATATGGGGGCAGCGTAGAGGCTGCCACAAGTAGAATTCCACTCTCAGGATTCTCCTGTTGAAGGAAAGGTGGAAATGTGATTTTCATCCATTTTCCCTTTACACTGCAGCTCCATAGGAGTTGGTTGTTGTCTTTTTGTGGAAGAAGTGTGATTTCAACCCTATGTTTGCCACTGCTTACCTCAGAGCAAAGAAGCCAACCTTTGCTTCTAGAACTTGGGATGGTAAGCTTTTGCCACCCCACAAGGAAGAAGCAAGTTTGAGAACCTGTAAAAGCCACATTTCCTCAATTTTGCCCCTAAGCCATTGCAAAATATAAAAACGAAATATGCCATATTTGGATCTTAAAGCCAGGCAATACTTGGCATGTAGTACTGCATGTTTGTCTGGAAGTAAAGCCCACGGAGTTTAATGGCGTTTTCTTTCCAGTATGATTGCAGTCTTAAACGGTCTATAAAATCTGAGATCAGATGGCAACGATCTGTCAGATGCTGGCTTAAGAGCGCCCATCGAAGCCTGAGTTATTGCCCATAATAAAAGTTGCACTGCGCACACAAAGAGACTACAGTAGATTTAGTGGCGTTGCTTGCAATAAGTGCTGACCTAAGTTGACTTGCTCTCTCTTGAGCCAAAGCTGTCATTGTGGTGTCTTAGTCTCCAGCCAGAATACATCACATGAGCCTGCTGCCAGACTTATTGGAAGAAGTTGACAAAGTCTTGCCATTGATGGATGGAGGTGCTTGGGCCTAATTTTGAAATTCCTTTTCTTCCAGATCATGTTTTTCTCTCGTTTCGGCCTTCTCTGGTTGCTGCTGCTTGCGTGGGAGCCTCGCGCATCTGTCTTGAGGTTTCTCCTTCTTGGACCGCACAGCTCCAGCTGTTAACTTGTTATTCCTGGGAGCATCTTGCTCCATGTATCGAACTCATGCTTATGTAAGTTTTGAATAAAAACAGCCACCTGATGAACATTGTTTTATTTATGTGTTAGTTTTTTCAGGCTACTAATATGTCAAATTATCTATGCGGACAGAATTTCAAACATTAACATCTACCTGGTGTGACTCTTGACACCATGTTGATTGCAAACATGTAGCGTCCCCAGTGCCCTGGCTATTTACACTTGACATAGCTGCCTGCCGTATTAATACAATACTCATGCAAAGATCCGAAAAGCCTCAGTGGTAGAGCTGGTATGCCCACTGGGAAACCTTGTTCCCTTTCTGTACAGATGAGCGCAGTTATTTATGACATGGCTAAATTTAGTGGCCCATTCCTTTTCTTTAAAAGCTCTGGTACACACATCCAGACCCTGGTCTACTAATTTCTCATTGCTGGTCTAGGACATAAGATGGCAAATGGTATTTTGGTGTCTGTAACTTTATTGTAAATACTATAATTTTCAGTGCGGCTTTTGGAAACATGATTCTAATGCCTGCCAAATGGCCTGGAGCATTCCCAGACATAGGTGTAGAGCAGTGTTTCCCAAACCTGGGTCTCCAGCTGTTTTTGAACTACAGTTTTTGAACTACAACTCCCATCATTCCTGACAACTGGTCCTGCTAGCTAGGGATGATGGGAGTTGTAGTCCCCAAAAAACCCCAGCGATTCCTAGTTACTTACCTGTCACATTTTATTTTTCTGTTTCAAAACCCTGGCCTTTAAGCTTGTGTGTGATTTTATTTTTATCTAACAGAGCTCATGATAAGGACATCAAAGAAGCCAACAAGGAAAAGGATCGTGTGAAGCTGTTGCAGCAGCAGCAGCAAGTTGTGGAAAGCCTCAGCCTTCAAACCCCGACTCAAGTTCTCTTCCAGCAATCGCGTTACCATCCCCTGGCTCAGCATTCGGCTGTCGTTCCGCAGTTCCACTCCCCAATACAGGATCTGTGCTCAGCTTACCGGGACTCTTTACAAGCTCCTCGACTGAGTGGCCTTGCCTCGGGCCACCATAGCGACTCCCTGCATTCCTACTCCACCCTGCAGGCCAGCTTTCAGCCTGTTTTGCAAACAGTGTCCATTCAAGGGCCTATCACCATGCAGGTAGCCATTTCAACGGAGCCTAGGCACTGCCTCGCTCTGACCTATGGCAGTAGCTATTTTAGCGGGCATCCTTCTTACACAACAGGTTGTTTTGATGGATGAGCACCTGCAGAGGAAGGGGGGAAGACAGGACCAGTACATCTTGGAAGGAAAACATTGGTGGTATGTAAACTGAGTTGCACCTGCCACCATAGAAAGGAGCTCAATGAAGCAACTACTTGCCAATAGCTTGGACAAAAACAAATCCCTCGTTGATTTTTCTTTTTTCTTTTTAACATTTAAAACATGGGTGCCTTTCCTGCAGAAGCAAGATTTTTCTGAGAAGAAATGCAAAAATATACCTCGAAATTCATGATGCTACTTTTGCAAGAGTGACTTACTGAAATTGGGGTGGGGAATGTAGACACATCCCTTTCCTCTCCTTGCTTCCACCCTCCATAGAAGGGGTGCCAACGAACTTGAAATAAAAAACTCTGTAATTAAAAACAGTACTCTGAAAAGCAGAAACCTGGAGAAACTTCTGGCCATCAGATATACTTGTATGATGGCTCTCCCGTGAACACGGTTTGTAGTGGCAGCTCATAACACTGGAGCCTTTTGTTGACACTAACAAGGCTTATATTTCCTTGATACCTCTGAAACTGTCACTGGAATTTTTTTAATGAATGTTCCTTGCTGTGCTTTGACTGGAATTTTCATAGAACAAGACTTTAAACTTGGAACACAAGTCAAACCACTTTTGCCTTAATTTGTCTGGTGAGGCATCAGTAGACAAAACACCACTTGGGCCTCAAGTTTATCATATTTTTCTTAAAATGCAATCTTAACTTTACCTCTAAAATATTTAAGATGCTGCTGCCTTAAGTAACTAAAAGATCATTTTGTGGGAAAACATGGTTTACAACTTATGTCAGGGATTAATGTTTACTTGAAAACAATTCATTGTCAAAATGTTAATATTGCAGGAATCGCTGCCTTTTAGTGTGGTATGTTTGGTCTTGCTGTTTGAGTCAGTTATCTAAATATGGTCAAATGTGTGTGGAAGGAGTTGATTTTCTTTTTAAAGGGATCCATGAGTAAGGGAACCTGAGGTAACCTTGGAAACTGGTCAGTCTTAAAAGCTGCAGTCCTTGAACCAGAGTTGAGGCTGTTCGTTTACAGCCTGCGAAGACATTAGGCTACCGTTTACTTTAAGCAAAGGCCTACTGATAATTTTTTAAAATCACAATGTCACTTAATAGAGACACCATTTTAGCTCTTGTACATCCAAAGGCTTATTCTCTTTCTCCCTCCCTTCCCCCATTACTTGAGAGTGGAGCCACACGTGGTGGAGAAAGCAAAGGATTCTGAAGCCTGTGTTTTACTGTGTAAACTAAATCCTGAGCTGTAGTGAGGCACTTGCGGGGACATAAAACAGGGAACTGCTGCTTACCCCACCTACCAGTTCCCCCATGCAAATGTTACTCCCAAGCCATTTAAATTTCTTCCCCATTTCCTAAGAGGTACCAAAATCAAAAGCGAAGCCTGTCTGATGGGAAAACAGCTGATGTCGAGGCAGGTGTAGAGGGAAAACTCAATTGATATGTGACAAGTACTCAACCCAGCCAGTTAGATTTTATTCCTGTTCCCACACTCCACATTTGCAGTACCTCTGCAAATGCAGATTTGGGAACGGAGGGTTTGCCAGATTAACATGATGTTTTGCCTTAAGTCCCATTGATTCATTGCAGTTTAGTTCCACTTATCTGTACTTCGGGATCATGATCTTAACTATACTGGTGCGATTAAGCTTCCCGCAGGATTTCTGTGGGTTTTTGTTTTTTTTTAAGATTCCTGCTAGAATATGAAGTGCTCACTTGATATTCAGCTGTTTGTCCTGTTAGTCACTGAAAGCCAGTATTGTTTGTGAAAAGGGTTCTCAGGATTGCAATACAGACTATGTGCAATATATTGCTTTTATTCTGTCTAGAGTCCAGTGTGTGTGTGTGTGTGTGATGGTAGGATGTTCATCATTCTGCTTTTTAAGTTATATAATTTTTAGAAAAATAGTTCGTGAGAGGGTTGAGTTGGATTTTAGAGTGCAGACTTGTGTTTCCCCTTTTCAGAGGAAGTATGTTGGTTGGGGACTGATGTCTTTAAAGTGTACTGTAGTCTGGGCATGTCACACTTTAAGCAAAATGAAAGTAGATGTTGTGTTCCCTTTTTGTTACAGATTTAAATGAAAAGTGTTTATGCAAAAAATTAGAATAGTATCCGGAAGTTTTCTTTTTGTATTTATATACAACTTGGTATCTACAATATTTTGTGTGTTGTAAGCAAATTTTAACCACCCAATTGTGTAAATACTACTGAGGAAGCTCTGGTTGTAGAATCCAGTGTGTTCATTTTATTGGCCTTGCAGAGAAGCCTCCCCCGCCCCCATTTGACATTCGTAAGTATCTCCATCTTACAGTAGGTTATTCAATAAACACAGTGCAAAATACTGATGTGCGTGTCCGCTTCTTGTATACTCCTACGAAGAAGGGTCTGCCCACACTATTTGTGCCCGCGGGTCATTCGCTTTACTAATGGAACTGTGAAAGACTTCAATAATCATTAAAGTTCTTCTCAGTATTTGCAGGTGAACGTGATGTTTTCCTAGTATATGATGCTTTACTATTTCATTGGCTCTTAATATGCTTAGAACTGCAGCAGTGCATCACACACATTTATCCTAACTCATTTCAGCCTCCCGTTAGCTCAGCATTGCAGTTAGATCTAGAGTCGCCGGACTTCATTTAAGTCATTTATGAAAGAAGTAACAAGGAAATGGGACATGCTGCAATATGGTACAAGGCTTTGGAAGAAAAGCTTTAGGAAACCATGTCTGAAGCTGCTTCCCTTTCGGGCGTGTACATTTCCCGCCCCCCTTGTAAAAACCCATCATGCTGCTATTGGCATGATGATTATCATATGATAAACTCATTTCTTGGTTCGCTGCAATTTGTGATGGCAAACCTAAATTCATGACAGCAGAGTGGTTTCATTTAACTATAGTTGCACATGGCAGTTACGTATGACTTGAGAAACCTGTTTTTGGAATGATTGCTCTGAGTTCTGCGTGCATCCTTTGCATAGACTGATGGCAGCAGGATTCCTCAAGGGCCTCTTCCGATGATGCTCTCGCCTATTAATTGTTCAAGTGTGTGAGAGCCTTGGATCTGTGTGCATGTTTCTAGCCCCCGTCAACTCTACTGCCAATGTTAACCAAATGGTTGGCAATGTACTATAATGTAGAATTTCACACTGGGCAGCCAACTCATTACAGAAGGTGATTATATATGTAGGGTTAGGGGAGACTGTTCAAACATTGGTAGGATCAGCTGGCATAGGTCTTGCTGTCTGTATGCAATGTGCCCTTTGTCATGGCAAGAAGTCAGAACAGCCTGTATCTGTATTTTTTATGATAGCTTAAGACACTTAAAGTGGAGCTCAGCTCAGCAGCTTGGGAAACATGAATGGGAAGAGCAATGTGTCACATTTACTGACTACTTTTAGCTTGCCATATGTGTAGAAGGCACTTGGAGTGGGGGTTATTGCTGATCATCCCCTCTATGTCCCTGAAAATGTAACTCCAGAGGATTTAGGGTTCTCCAAAGTGGGCTTGTGGAAGAGTGGGAAGCAGGAAATACATTACTCTCCTCTTGCCTTCCATTTGCAAGCTGTTTGGCTCTAAGCCCGCTTCTGTGCCATGTCTAAAAAGAGCCCCTGAATGAGCAACTGCTGTCTCGGTGGCTTGTGACAAACTAAATTCAAAGCTGTGTGACTTCTAGAGCTATGGACACTTGGAAGTTGAACACAATTCAGTATCTTGGGACACTCAGCTGTCATGGATTTTAAAATCAGTTACTCTTAATATTGCAATTGTCTACCTTGCAAAGTGGCAAATGCGATTTGAAAGTGTGATGATGCATGATGAATTATCACATGCTGGCCATCTTTTTTTGCATGCACACAAATATCAAATGCCCTGTTTAAAGACTCGGAAATGGGACTTTGAGACATTTTTAACTGAATGAGCAGCTACACATAAGAAAATCTAGTCATGTGAAGTTGTATTTATTTTTAAACCACCCATTCTAAAATTAATGCTGAAGTGAGTTCTGAATACCATTGTTTGGGGAAGTTTTTAATGTTTAATGCTGTATTGTGTTTTTAATATTCAGTTGGGAGCCACCCAGAGTGGCTGGGGAAACCCAGCTGATGGGCGGGGTATCATCATCATCATCAGAGTGAATACTTGATGTAAAAAGATGGAACTTTCTTTCCTATAGAGAAAATATCACTGCTGAATTTTTCTGGCATAGAAGTTGAAGGCTTCTGAGCAAATGCTAACCAAACTCCTTTTTGGCTTTCAAGTTACTCATATTGAATTGGTGAAGTCCTAGGAAAAGAAGTTCAAATAATATTTTCATCCTCCGTTGCTTTATAATGCCAGGCAGTAGAGATAGTAGATCCAAATTAAATAAAGTAGATCCAAATTAAATAAAGTGTGCCTTAACCTTAGTCTTTTTGGCTCAGTTGGCCTCAAATTCTGAATAAATTTGTCTCGGTGCCCTTCTGCAGACTGTTTTTCTATTGTACTCATTAGGAAGCTTCCCTTTGGCTGGATGGTGTCTAGACAGTGAGAGCCAGACAAAGGTACTTATTTCTTGTCTGAAATTCAGTGCCATTTCCAAGGAAGGGCAAATTGGTGTGGGCGGGAGGAGGGGTAGCAGCTGTGCAAAGGTGCAGCAGAGCAAACATCTGTGCTTAAGTTTTGGGGGATGAAAGTTCAGCCCCTGATTTCAGATGGAAATGTGGCATCATCTCCCATCAGTCAGCAAGCAGGAGCCTTAAAGGATTTGTGCATTGTGAGCTCTGACTTTGGAACACATGCTCGGGGCTGGTTGCTAAGTGACTGTGCAAGACCGAGCCCCAACACATGGCTTCCCTGTAATGGAGAGCGCAGCATCTGAACATGTGTTCTCTTGTTTTTCCTCCGTGAGAGCTTAAAGAACAGTAGAATATTGTTGCCTGATCCTTCTAACTAATGAGCTTATCTCTTGTTCAAGGAATTGTGTTTGCCATGCGGGAAGAAACAAGCCAAATAAATTCAGCACATGCAAAATGCAAACATTTGTGAGTGCTCTGAGGAGCAGGAGCCCAGTAACAAAAATATGAAGTTGTCCTTGTAATAATCGAGGGAGGTTTTGCATCACATGCTCGGAAGGCTGGATCATAGGGTATCAACAGACTACTTTTTTCCTGGGGTTGCAACCATTACCCAGTGTGGAAATGTCCCCTGTTTGGTGGTGTTGCCCTGGATAGCAACACTGAGAGCTGCTCTGCATGTCATAGAATTATAAATAATACCTTCTTTAACACATTATAAAAAATAAGACACATAATGCTATCAGGTGAGAGTGGCAATTGGCCCTACACTATGCACTGTTGGAAAGTTAAAAATTCTAGCAAGGTAGGAACAGAGGAAGTTGCTTTATATTTAGACCCATTCTGCCTCTTGCACTTGCTTCCAATCAATAAATAAATGCAGAAATAAAGTTCTTAAGTTCGTTACTTTATATTGGGTTTTTTTATTGCTCACTTTTCAAGTATCAGTAAGGCCACAATTCTTCCTCCTCCAACGGCTTCTTAGACCAGTCTCTTGCTGATTCTTTTGAAAGTTTCATCGCCAATTGTAGAAATCTGCAGTAAAGGATAAAGCAAACATTGCTGATGAAGCTGGAAGCTGGGATTGAAAATATAGCTGTTAACATCCTGGAATGCTTTGTGAATTCCCTTCTTTACAATTGCTAATGATTCAGGAGTCCTGTGCCATGAATTTAAGGGAGGAGGGGAGACACAAAAGAGGAAACTTCCAATTCACAATTATAAAATAATCATTAATGTAGCCGAAAGAGTTATTTTTTTCTAGAGGGCACTACTGAACAACAATTTCAACCTAGTGTGTCTCTGCAACACTGCTTGCAAAGTATTGTGTTTCCTCCTCGCCTGTTATACTTTCAAATGCTTCATAATAGTGAGTTAGTTTTAGAATTATTTTGTATTTTGAATTGATCAAGTGACGTACCCAGTACGTGGGTATTGGTGGCCATTAAAATGATCATGCCTTCCGTCCATTCTTCAGCTAACATTTTGCTTTAATGCTGTAAACACCATTTTACAAGTTTTTTTGGGGGGGGGGCATCACACATTCAATCTTCAAGGAAAGTTTTAAGGAAATTACCTCAACTAGTTTGCCCCCAGCAATCTCTGCAGTATGATGATAATTAGGGAAGTCAGCAACCACTTTTCCACCTTCCATTTTAACAGTTGTCTGCAACAGATTTACATACATTAGTTGCCGCCTTGGCTGAATACAATTAAGGATTTCATTTCAATAAAGTGTTGCTAGTGTGCCAACCCAGCCACACCCCTTTGAATCCCGGCTAGTCCTTTGAGAGCAGTAGCTACAATCATTTACCTTGAATTTTTTACCACCCATTGTTTCCATTTCGGATTCCTTGCCAATAACAAACTTATTTGTCATGGAATGCCCGCTTGGGTAAATCTGGGACCAGGTGAATTCATCTCCATTCTGTACCACTTCAGTAACAATCTTGAAATTTTTTCCTTTTTCAATTGTGTCGGCAGGAAAACCTAGCCCAATGAAAAGACAACGTTAATGTAAACCTCCTCCAATGTATTTGTTTAAAAGCATTTCTAAATTGCTGTGGTATACAGATTTTCTAAGAGGTGTACAAAAATACAAACCCCAAAGGAGTGGTATAAAAACCAAAAGATTAATAAAAGAATGCAGGAATCTGAGTTGCAATGTCATTCTATCAAGCAGAATACCACTGTACGGCAATCTGCCGGAATGCAGTGGTTTTTATTCTGCTTGCCAAATAATGTTGTGTAAGTCTGAAAGACTGCAGAGTTTCACCAGGAGATCCCAACTGAAGATGCCATAATTCCCATGTTGAGGCTGTTTTCTGAAACCAGCAGCTGACAATCTAAGCAATTCTCTAAGTCAGCTTTCCATAACCTGGTACCCTCCAAATGATTTGGATTGCATCTTCCATTGCCTCTGACTACTGGCTGTGCCACCAGAAGAACTGATGGAAGCTAAAATCCAAAACAACTGCAGGGCAGTCAATTGGGGAATACTGATCTGAGTGCAGCAAACGAAAAGTCTTAATAGATACATACCCATGCGCTTCATAAAACTCTCATAGTTTTCCTCACTTTCCACTTCGTATTTGCCGGAGAAAGCCATGCTGTAGTCTGTGGCACAGGAAAGAGGTTTGCAGAGGAGGGTGTTTGTGGTTTGGCTTGGTAGGTTCGGGGACTGAAAACCCCTGCCTTATAAAGCTTTCTTAGCTCAGGTTATCCACCCTAAATGCATTGCACTTCTCCATCATACCATCTAATGAGGAAGTTTGTTTTTTTACAACAGGAGGGTAATTTTGTATGAATCACTTAACACTGGTGTCATTGACCCTTACAAAAGGTCCTATTCCAATTCTGGCATGTCTCTTTTTACCAAAGACTTTTCCCAAAGTAAGTTCAGGGTGATAGATATAGAGATAGAGATATATAGATATAGATATATTGTTACCCTACAAAGGGGGTCTGGAAATATACCGGTCCACTTTAGCCAAATAAAGACAGCAGTGTCGTGGAAAGAGTTCATATTTGTTGCAGGCTGCAGCAAGAATAAATGATCCAGAGTAGTTTTCCAAATTCTGGACCCCAAATACAACATTCAAGACACTTGTATAACAATTACGTGCATGATCACCTCATACACAATCCTTTCTGGCAATATGATGGGATAACTGAATGCATGGAGAGCTTGTGGGACCCTGAAACATATTTCATTGGTCAGAACAGCCTGCTCCTAATTGCTATGGCAACAGGTATCTTTAAGCAAAGTTCATACAAAATGTTGCTTTTTTTTTTTTTTTTTTGCTATCTGCTACTTGAAGACTTGTCTGGGTCAGGAAAATTTATTGTTCTCCTGGCTTTGATGCCAGCCCTCTGTCTGCTGCTGAAGGCCAGCGAGCTCTTGGCATGCCTACTAACCTGATAAGATGAAGTGAGAGGCCCGTGGTGGGTGCTATCCCAACAAAAGACAGGAATGCAGCTTCTTTCATAGGTGTGGGGGGGTCTCTATAGGCCTCTATAGGAAGGTGGGAAACAATCTCCCCTCCCCACCATAGCTGAATTCCTTTTAGTGAAAGTGGTTGAGGCCCAAGATGGCCAGTGAGGAGGACCAAAACACACCCACACACAAATGCATTACACACATACTCATTTTCAATATCCCTCTCTCCCCTTGCACTTCTCAATTTGGCTTTTTCACTGTGCACCGGGAAAAGGACACAAAGTGAGCTGGCCATGCAGGAAGATTAAACTCCCTCTTCGAAGAGCTGATAGAGGAGGTGAATGAACTCGAAGCGTGCTCTTTCCTGGTTTGTGCTGAACTTGCAACCTTGCTTTTCTAGCAATAATGCCAACGGCCTTGAAAAACTTCATCTCATCCAGCAGGTGAAGAAAAGCTACAGAACTGCAGGAACCAGGTGGCGGTGCATCTGGGCTCTCATGTTTATGTATGGCTCGGCTCGCTCTGCAGAAATCGTATTACAGCATTCCACTTCTCCATCACTCCATGTACAGAAGCCATGGCAACTGAATCTTATTTCAATGCAGGCACTGGGAAAGTATCCTGTACCGCACCTGAACGCAATAGATTAGTTAGGAGGCTGCAGGTCAGTTTGTATTACACAACTCTGCTTTTCCACCAAACGGTACAGTCAAGAGCTGCTGCTTCTACAGTTGCTGCCCAAGATGGCGGCTTCCTTCTGACTAATGGTAGGGTTGGCCCTTTCTACCAGCACTGGTCTTCACACTGAGAAGCCTCTGATAATTTCAAACCTAGGAACCCCAGTGTTCCTCAGGTCACAGTCTGAAAGCCACTGCCTCATAGCGCCATTTGCCTGACTTCTAAATTTCAGTTCAGATGTGTGAAAGACTTGTGCAACTAGCTACCAGCTCAAAATATGCTGTTATAACTCCATGAGAAAAGAATGTAGACTTCTTTGGGTTTCATTAATCATCCTTAATGAGAACACAGAACATTTCATATACGTTTCTTAACTCCTCGGGTTAAGAACTTAATTCATTCTTAACCTGAAACTGTTCTTAACCTGAAGCACCACTTTAGCTAATGGAGCCTCCTGCTGCCGCTGTGCCGCCGCTGCACAATTTCTGTTCTCATCCTGAAGCAAAGTTCTTAACCCGAGGTAATATTTTTGGGTTAGCGGAGTCTGTAACCTGAAGCGTATGTAACCTGAGGTACCACTGTAATTGTTAAAGATTAACAGAAGTGGAAAAGGGTTGAGTAAGGTTCTTTTCACTAAAGGGCTGTACATTCTTGTTCTGTCATAAATAAGAAATGGCAGTTATCTCTCCTCCTCTTTGTTATCAAGGTTATTATTTTATGACTTGATTATCTCTTTACACTTTTATTTTCTCATGCATATAGATGAGAATTTAATCTCCACTGTAATCTTACTCATATTCAACTATTTATGAGAGAAGGCTTTAGGATTCTCAGGGAGTTTTTGCCGTCTTTAGAAGGACAGATAATTTATGGCAAGAAAATAGTCTATTTGTTCAACATATAGCTGGGTAACATCTGCTAATTGAAGCAGCCTTGAAAGGTAGGGGGAATAGGCAAAAGAATTGTGTGTGAAACTTAACCGCCTTGATAGATGGTATTGGAAAGACTCTGGAGTCTTTTTGAAGACACTGATTCCTTCTGTTTCAACTTTCAAGGCTGCCTAGCTAGCTCAGTCTTTTCCCTGTGGCCTTCGAGTGCAGGCATGGATGTTTTCATGTGGCTTATGTTTTCAAATTGAATCAAAGCTGTTTTGGGAAAAACACATCAAAATGCAGTACTTCTTAAGATTAATGTGGCTAATGCGGATTACGGCTAAAGCCATGTCTGCACCGAGTCACAAACTGGCAGTGGAAGTGCACTTGGCGCAGAGCAAATGGGTGCACCTCTGTAAAACTGTTTTCCACCACTGTGCTCATATAGATTTTTAGGTCGCTCAATACTTTTCTTGAAACAACCATACCACAGTAGCATTTTAAGAACTGCTGTACAAGACTCTCTGCCATTTTATTCTATCTTCAGAGGGCCTTACTTCTTTGCCGTTTGTGCCCCCAGCCCCCTAAGCACTGGTGTGCACAGACAGCAGGTGACTTAGATACACATCCAACTCTATTGGTACGCAAATGCCTTTCTAGGCCTGGCTCAGAATATTCCATACAGTGTTTTGCCTTCCACTTGTCCACTGTAGATCTGGCTGATGGGAGATGTAGCAGCCTGATCTCAGTCACTCTGACACTCGCACCCAGGAGCTCCCTCTTGCACAGAGCCTGGCTGCTTACCGACTTATCTCTAACCTACTATTTCTAGAAAAGGTTGTTGAATGAGCACTCACCATCCAACACTTAAATTGTAATGCCTGAAGAAGACTGAAGTCCTTTCCAATCAGGCTTTCACTCAGTGTACGGCACTGACATTGCAATTGGCCTCGGTCGCTGCTCTTTGCCAAGTTGACAAAGGAAGTTGTACTCTGTTGTCCCTGCTAGATTTTGCAGGTGTCATTGACAGCGTTGACCATAAAGCACTAGCATCACACGTGTAGCGACTGATGTTCCTGGGTTAGCCTTTGAGAGGTTTTTACAGGGAATCCCAGAAGACAGCTAATGTGAGTTTGCTCAGTGTTCTCCCTCTACTATCACCCTGGCAAGGACTTCTCTGTGGTATCTTGCAGGATTCCACCACCATTCCTCTCTTGCTAACTTATAATTCCTGTAAGGCAAAACAGTACTAGTGGAGGAACCAAGAATGCTTCCACGTGGCCTCTTATGGTGGGCTCTTAGTGCTGTCCGTGCACACAAGTTTTGCTCAGCATATGCACAACGTGATCCTCATCAAAATATTATTTTTCCTTTCACGCAGAAAGCGTGATACGTTAGACAAGCAAACATTCAAATGGTAAATCCAGATTGGGGGTAGGGGGACAGAGCAGCGTTCTGATGAGGGAGATGTCAAGTGGACACTGTGCGAAACCTGCATGTGTGAGCGGTATTGAATCCACCAGGAGATGCTATGTGGAAGCACTCCAAGACGCAGAGCTAGCAGAGACAACAGCTGAAAGCTGCTTATTCATCCTGCTTCATCCTGAGATTATCAAAGTGTCCAGATGTTTTCCATGTGGCTTTCTGCAAATGGCATTCAACATCCTTCTGATGAGGCAAAGATACGTCACAGAAAGCTAATATGAATCCTAAAAGAAACAGTTTTGTAGAGCTTAAAAGTGCTACCACATAAATGACATGGATGCTCTATTCCACCACAATACTGCGCTCAGAATGCAATCTTAGCTACACATACCTGCGAGTAAGTCCCACTGAACTTAAAGGGGCTGGCTTGTGAGTAGATACATATATAGGAGTGTGCTATTAATAGAAGAACAGAGCAGTACTTTAAGTACCATGTTGTTGTATCTTGTCTACCCTGTTTCATCTTATGAGCAAGCAGGAGAAACAGGAACACAACTTAGAAACCCAAGCCACAGGTACCTGCTGTTCTAACCCCACAGGTGTTTTTTATTTCATAGATACAGCTCCATGTCCATTTCAAGTCCATTGCATGGTTTAGTATCTTTCAGAAGTGAAATGTCACTTCCAACTATGATGCAATGCAGGTTTTGAGGATACTGTCTCCCCCAGCCCACTTTATTGCACCATCTTTAAGGATGCCAATTACATGTAGATAGCGAAGCCTTTCTAAGACAAACCTTGATTGCTGCTTTGGGGTTAGTTACTCTGCCTATAAAAGCTTCTGTTGTTCCCCCTCTAGTTTGGATTGCACTTCCCAAAGACACTTCCTCTCCTCCCTTCTGAATGGTTCACTACCCTTAACCCCTGTAATTCACTCGAAGGAGGGGTCATCCAGGGCAGACAACTGTCTTAATGGAGCAGACTGGTCTTTTTCTGCCAAGAAAAGCCAGGATAAAAGGAGAACTGCGTCAAAACAACAGCAGTTTGCACAGCAGAATAAATATGTGCTTGCAGACCTAAATACAATGTGCCAAGTGCTAAAACACTCAGGTGAATTATTACTCTCAGTAGGTCAAAATGTATTTTACAAAGCCCATGTTGCTTTTTCTTCCTCTAGTTGAACAATGCTTGTTTTCCCTCCTGCTAATGGATATCTATCTGTTTCAAGGAACTGTGTGTTTGCACATATTTTACAAGCATGGGTGCATGTTGTAAATCCCCATGCAATGATGCCATTTCATGTTACTTTCTCTGTTACCAGATCTTATTTTATGTAGATCTGCTGCCCAACCTACTCTTTACAGCAACATCTGTTTGAGAAAAGGAAATGCTTCTTCACACTGCATGGTGACAGCAGTGTTTGGTGCATTAACATGCAATAATGCTGTTGCAGTGAATCAGCATTCGTTGCTCTTTGATGCCGTAGTTTATTTCTTAGAGCAGCACCTGATGGAACTTTGTTTAGACTGGCAAGAACCCCAAAAGAAAGGTATGGCTCCCTTTAACATTAGTTCAGTATATGTTGATTGATCATAGAATCATAAAATTGCAGGGCTGGAAGGGAACTCTGGAAGGGAAA